ACTCTGGAAGCCGTGTGTAAGTGTATCTCAGGATTTAGTGATACATTTTACAAGGCCAACAAAGAATTTTACGAAGAAGGTGGGGAGCATGTTCTTGGAGGTAAACCAAATTACGTCGATTATCGAGGAGGGAACCCCGATGTATGGTTTGAACCGCAAGAGGTCTGGGAGATGGCTTTTGCAGATGTCACGATTAGTCCCGTATATAGAGCGGCAATTGGTCTCGTGAGCGATGAAAAGGGATTAAGTTTGAGATTTCCTAGGTTCCTGAAAAAGAGAGAAGATAAATCTATAGAAGAGGCTAGCACAGGTGAATTCCTGGCTACCTTGTGGAGGAAGCAGGAAGAAAAGGTTGACGATGGAAATAATGAAGCACAGGGGGTAGATCCAGAGGAGGACGAGGAATGATCCATCACTTCACGCAAGTTGTTCCAGCTAGCTGATAAAGTCTCATTAAGAGGATATTATCTATGTTGGAAATGTATAGTAACCTTAATATTTACCCGTATGTAGCAGAAGCTGCTTCTAGTAAGGCCTGAATACCATGCATCTACAATATTGCTTTTATGCTTCAATTGTACACCAACGAAATGAAAGATGGCATTTGAAAACATAGACTTATTCCATCAAATCATATTCCTTAATCGTGAAGGGAGAGGTGAAACAACTGTCCTGGTGCTAAATGTACAAAATCCACTTTATTTGCATTTCGTTGCCGAGCCAACATAGAAGTCACAACCCGGAAAAAAAGAGACGATAACTGATACATTAACAACTCATTGATATTAATTTAAGGTTTACTACAGCCAATTTCTTTACACCAGTATCTATTATGGCGAGACTTGTAGTATATAGTAGTGATGAGGAATTCCCGGACGTGAATGAAGTTATTCGAGGGAAGGCAGGAAGAAAAACATCACAAAAAGTATCGGGAGAAACAAATAGGAAGGTCGAGCGGAGTGAACCGAAAAGTGACCTGAAGAAAGAGAAAGGATCGACGGTTTCAAATGTGAAGGAACTAGGGAGTGATGAGATAGAAAGCTCTGAGAATGCAAAGCCTAAAGCTAGGAAACGCGTTTTGAAGCAGAACTCAGATAATCCGCTCTTGAAACCATTGAGTATGGGTACGAAGCGATCGAGTACGGAGCCTAGAAAGATATCGGCTTCAAACTCGGCGGTTCCGATGACGCGAGTGATGAAGGAAGAACCAAGGCGGAAGGCAACGGTTGTGAAACCAAGGATACCGGATTTCGAAGAGGAGCGCAAAGTTGTAGCTCGGAATTATAGGGTCACAGATTCAGAAGAGGAAAAGGATGAAGATGATTCGGACGATCTACCGGGTTTTTTACCGATGTCAAAGGTGTTGAAGGATGAACCAAAAAGGAAACCAATTTCTTTAAAGCCTAGAATATCAGATCTTGATGAGAAACGAAGACCAACGGCTCGGAAACCTACGAAAACCGAATCGGAGGACGAAGACGAAGAAGAAGAAGATGATGATCTGTCAGATTTCATAGTAGACGATGACGATGATTCTGACGTGTTCAAAACACCACCAAAATCGACTCGAAGACTGGTCAGGGGTCGTAGGACAGTGGTCGAAGAATCGAGTGATACCGATACAGAAGAAGAACTTCTACGACAACTTCTAGACAAAACTACACTCGACGACAAAGACGCACCATCTGCATTCAACCCACCGGTCTTGCAGCCACCAAATAGAGATGAGAAAGTTGAGGTTCGACCAGGGACTTCTTCTAGTTTTGATGACAATGGAGCTGTTTTACGATTGTAAGAAAGTCGATCTAATAGTATTAGAAAAATGCTAATATATAAAAGTTCCCCCTCATCCAGAAAAGTATCCAAAGGAGTCAAATTATCAACACCCCCAGGAAGTCCAGAATTAAAACCTCGAGGCCTGGCATCACCTAAAAAGTTATCCCGCATACCATCTACCCCACACCGTCCCAGTATGGATAGTTTCTGGTCTCAAGATCTCGTCAACGATTGGAACGATCAATATTCCCCCATGAAAACCCTCCAACCCATCTCCAAACCCAAGCTCCAACCACCCTCAACCTCAAGAGGCACATCTCTCTTCAAGAAACCCCCTTCATTCAAAGCTCCTCGCATAGACAAAGAATCCAAAAAAGCCTTCTCAATCTCCAAACACACCATCGCCTCCGATTTCCTTCTCGAACTCGACACCAAAATCACATCCGGCCGCATTGCCGAACTCTCCGCTTCTACCGGCGGCGTCCAAATCATCTGGTCCAAAAAGCTCATCACAACCGCCGGTCGCGCAAATTGGAAACGCGAGACCATCAAATCTCCCCTAACCACTAATACCGATGGCAAAGCCCCCACCACATTTCGTCACTACGCATCCATCGAGCTCGCCGAAAAAGTCATCGACGATGAAAATCGTCTTTTGAATGTCCTCGCGCACGAATTTTGTCATCTGGCCAATTTCATGATCTCGAATATCAAAACTAACCCGCACGGAAAAGAATTCAAAGAATGGGCTGCGAAATGTTCGAATGAATTTGGGGATCGCGGGATTGAGGTTACGACGAAACATTCTTATGAGATAGAATATAAATATGTGTGGGAATGTACGGAAGCAGGGTGCAAAACACTGTTCAAGAGACATTCGAAAAGTATCGATACTCAAAGACATAGATGTGGCGCTTGTAAGGGGGTTTTGGCACAGATCAAACCGGTGCCTAGGGGAGCGGCAAAGAACGGGAAGGAGAATGAGTATCAGGTTTTCGTAAAGGAGAATATGAAGAGAATTAGGGACGAGAATCCGGGGAGTCCGCAGAAAGATATTATGGGGCTGGTGGCGAAGAAGTATCAGGAGCAGAAGGCTAGTAAAGCTGCACAAGTGGGGGGAAGGAGAATACACCTGATGATGGGGATGTGGAGATTGTTGCGAGGAAACTCGATTTCTTGGATTTGACAAGTCCCTGAGAGTGTGGGCGAGAGAATAATCAAATTGAGATTTAAGATTTGTTGAATAACTAATAAAATTCAGACTATTCAGACTAATCATCACAATGACAGCTAATTCTGTAAATACGCATTGCTCTGTCCTGACAAAGGGAATGGAAATTTGAAAAACAACCCGTGAAACATAGCAAATCCTCAGCATCCAGCCAAATCCATACTAGATCGATCTCCAATCCGTTTCATCCCATATCGCTCTCGCCCATCTCTCAATCCCCTTCCATCTGTTCCTCTCTCTTCTCCCCCCTTTTCACCATCTAAACCTCATCAAAAAGACCCCAATCCTTGATCTTAAACGTTTCCCAAATCTTAGCTGCATGTTCGACAGCATTCTCAATCAACTTTCCCTGTTTCCCCAATTGCAAATCCACATCATCGGCTGAATATTCGCCTTTGATATGAGGCACGTTAATTGTTACCAAGATATCTGTACTCTCTCTTTCTAATCGGATAAGATTGAGTACTATGGCTGTGAAATCTGGAGCGGAGGCGCGGGAATTGGGATCGTGGGGTGGTGTTTGAGTGGCGATGAGTGTGTAGGCGGGAGTGTTTTCGCTGCAAGTTGTCAGATTTGGGTTGGGTAATGAAGGCTTGGTCATGTGATGTGGTGGAGATGGGATGATGAGAGATAGAGGATAGAGGAATGGGAAAGGAACAAGAATGTGAGGTACATACGGCAATTTAGAAAACTTAGTATCAGTAATCGACCATACTTTCACAGTATCCAAATCGGAATCAACAATATCCTCCAGATGAGTCGTCATAGCCGCTCCATCGGTCGCCGGGCTAGAGCCCGCAGTACCGACTCGCTCGGTGATATCGAATATGATACTGGTAAAACCATCTTTGTCTAAATAGACTTCTTGATGGTCAGGAACTTGTCTTATTGTACTGTGGAATTGTTAGTTCTGTGGTGCTGATCGTGATGGTTTTGAGTTTTCGTCAGGAGTGGATGTGGGGCTCTGCATGTGTTTTGATGTTGGTTGGTTTTTTCTTGAAAGGCTTACCTGACGTCGGCGAATGCAGATGGAAGGTCGACTATGAGGGCGCCGCCGAAGAGTGGAGTGGAAGAATATGTAGTCATGTTTGATGATTTATATTTCGGTATCGTATGAGCGTGAGGGTGATGTGATGGGGTTGTTGCTTTTGATATGTTGTGTTGGTAGGGCTGCAGTTTGGGATGGCAGGGTAGGACGTCACTTGTTTGATGATTCGCTTGATGAGGAACAGGGAAGATGGAAGATTGAAGAAACCACCAATATCTGCCCGATGCTTCTCTTGGATATTAATTTTCGCTTTATAATTTTGAGTCAGAGGAATGGGGTGAAGTGTAATAGAGTGCCAAGTGCGAATATGAGATGAAAGGAGAGATATATGAGTAAACTTTGATGGTCTTGACGATCGGCTATAATTGCCCTATCCCCACTTGGGCAACTTTTAGCGGCCGAGTAGGCTTGTGAGCAGGCACTTTCTAACTAATAAGTCTTTCCCTCTGGTTTTCATTGCATCTCTTACACACCAACGCTCACAAAATTCAGCCAAAGACTTCAAAACAATGCTATCTTTCAAAACTTCAAGTCGAACAAGTGCCAACTCGGGCAGTGGCAGGTCCTCAACACATAACTTCATCTGTGAAGCGTAATATCTATTTCCTTCGTTGTTAACATTATATCACGGAATATGTACTCAAGACATCATATCACCTTCAAGTATATTTCACAATCAACAGATCTTTGAGGCGTAGATACCACATGCTTCATTGCAATCATCCAGAACACGCCGTCATTCGTTGCGTTCTCCCTTCTACCCAACCCCAGGCTGGAGTTATCAGGCTTATCGTACCCTACTTTCTGACATGCATCTGCAGCGTTCTTATGATATACTAGTGTATGTGATGTGGCACATTGTAAAGAAGAATGGTATAACTCAAACTAAATCATGCCCAATTTTCAATTTCAACTAATAAACTGAATTCTCATCATTGTCTCATCATGCTTTGCAAAGTCTGCAAATCGATTGACTTCGGAGACTTATGTTATCGGTGGTTGCAGTACGCCTCTGCTCCGTTGACAGCAAAGCCGGAATTTCAACATCATACCAATTACAAAAAACTTATAGAGTCAGCGCAAGAGGACTGTGAATTGTGCATCGAGGTAAAAGAGGGTGCACGCAGAGTATCCACCGATGCCGCAAGATCCAGAAAGCGTAACTTGACGATAAGTTGCGGACCAGGGTATTACTCTAAGCCGATAAGTCAAACAAAAGATGTGTTCACTAAGGGAATTGCTGAAATTTGGTTTGAGTGGACGTATTATAAGAACGAGGGCTCTGCCGGACATGTATTTTGTTCTGTCGTTCGTATTTTCTGTGAGAAAGGTACGCGCACAGGTGTAGCCCGACATAGCTCGAATTTTGGATTTAACATATGTATACATAGAATCTCCGGCTGCCGCATTGAATATTGTTAGTGGGCGGCCTATCCCTACAACCCGTTTTCGTCGGAATCTTTTGAAACGGCACGAACATGGCTTCGGGATTGTCATCGCAACCACAAAAATTCATGTCCGAGCAAACGGGCTGCTTTATTACCTTCTCGCGTCATTGACGTTGGATCTGGCAATTATTTGGGCACACCACACTTACATATTAGTGAAGATGGCGAGATGGGCAACTGGGCTACCTTAAGCCATTGCTGGGGTCAGGTTGGTGGCTATGTAACTAATGTCGCAAATTTAGATCGCAGAATACGTTCTATATCTATGCAAGAGCTTCCGCCCACACTGAAAGATGCCATTAAAGTCACGAGGTGTATGGGATTAAAGTATCTATGGATTGATTCGATTTGCATTCTCCAAGGTTCCGATGTTGCTGCCCAGGCAGATTGGCTATCCGAGTCAAGTCGCATGCGAGATTACTACAAACATTGTGATTTTTGTATTGCTGCCGATGACGCATCTTCTGACAAAATTGGATTTCTGCGCATTTTACGTACACAAAGGGCAAAGGTCTCTATTTCCATGCCGTTAGCTCACTGGCGACGCGCAGGGTCTTGTACAATCTATCTTCAAGCAGATCTCCATCCCCGGTCTGCATATCCCGGTCGGCGTCGACCCATTCTCGCTACTAGAGGATGGACGCTTCAAGAACACGTTCTCTCTCCACGCGCTCTACACTACAATCATGAACAACTTGTCTGGAATTGCCAGTTTCAGAAACTCTCAGAATCGAATGTGAATCCGGAAATATTGTCGTCAAGCGATAGACCGTGGCATGGTATGGACGCCAAAAGATTTTTCTTGACTCCAATTCATGGGGAAGAGTATATATATGACAATTTTGGTCCCCCCTATGCTCGGTTACTCAACATACAGCAGCGGTGGTACAGTTTAGTCAATGACTATGCGGCTCGTGCTCTTACTTTTGAGACTGATAGACTTTTTGCGTTGGCTGGATTAGTACAAGAAATTGAAGCACAGTCCGGATTTACTTATTGGGTAGGTATATGGGCCGAAGACGCCCATGCTGGCCTTCTCTGGAGAATCACTGGGCGAGTAAACATCCCAGCAGCATATATTGCACCTTCATGGAGCTGGGCCAGCCTCGACATCAGCCACTACAATGATTCTTATGACCATGGCTTTTATCCAGTCGGCGGTTGGAAACTCGATAGCTCAAAATTTAAAGCCAATATATCCAGCTGTGAGATCATAACTGTTAATGGAATTCCCAACGGACACCTTCTAACTGCGAAGCTCACACTTCATACCCATTGTCTTCATTTAAGTCAGTGGGGATTGTTAAATGATGTGGCTATAGCGACCCCAGCCACTGTGTTACCATCAATCGCTAGGAGAAGGGAAATTCTGCTAAAGTTTGATGTAGAACCGTTGGATATCATATACTGGCCTTCACAACCATTACTCTCACCACCACCACAAGTCAGTGCTTTGCAGCCAAAGGCAAAAGGTGTTCTTCGCTGGGTATCTCCTTGTATCCATTTCTTCTATAGTCTTGTGGAAAAATGGAAAACTCACGCTGTACCGTTCTCCCAAAAACCAGCTCAAGGTTCATCACCGAATATAGCATTCGCGAATTGTCATCTTGTGACACGCGATTTAAAGCATGTAGTACAGAGGCTCTCTACCATACAGCGCAATTCCAACAATCTCATCATAGTACGGATTGCAAGTATCAGCGATTCTACAGTCAGATCTTGCGGACGGATGCGCCGAGATAAATGTCATTATGGCAGTACAATGTGTCTCCTTGTCGAACCCGGTACAGAAGAAGGCACTTTTAGGAGAGTAGGTTTGGCACAAATTTCAAACGTCGAATATGGCGATTCATTGCCATGGAAGATGCGCACTATCGTACTAGTTTGAGGTATTTTTCCATGCTATCATTCAGCGTCAATTTTAGCAATATCAAGTTATTCCCGGAGCAACAGTCCATTCATACATTCAGCTCATAAGCCCACCTTCATTAGATCGCGTTCAATAGCATGTCTTTGGGATTGCAGTTTGGCTTTAAGGAGCTCTTGAACAACAATCATTCTACCTGCTATATCCAACCAAAGCAATCGATATATTAAATCAAAATAGCGCAAAATATTCGATGCTTTTACACTTTCCCATCGAATTGTAGTCAGAATCAATAAATGTTGAATCCATCAACATTCTCTCCTACCGTAAATGAAAAGTAAGCAGCAATTGGCATCTACGAATTCCTTCTCGAATAACTGATAACACGTGCCTATACTTTTTATGCGAAAAGTTGAAATGAATTGTACAAATCTCAGGCTGCTGGAAAAGTTCAAAGCAAACTCTCTCATCGAAACAAAATCGTGAATCACACTGCAAAAATCACACCTCAGAACTTCCCTCTGAGCCTCTCAACATCCGTCTCCACACCCCCACAAAAAAAACTCCCCACTTACCCTCCCCCATCCATCCATCCAAAAAATCCCCCTCCGCACACTACCCATCATCCCTCTCCAAAAAATCCAAAATAAATATCTCTGAATAATCAGAAGGTGTGTTACAAAGATTTGAAGAATGGAGTATCTTGGGCATGAGCCACGGTCATCTCTGGTAAAAGGCAAGAAATGAATTCTGAGCTAGCTTGTCCCACTCCGACTTGTAAACTGCGCTTTTGAAATATATATATGAGAAAAATTTGCAGGTGCTGCTCGGACTTCGGGTGGTCGGGTGATGTTCGGGAGTGGTCAGGAGATGGGGTTCGGCTGAACACAAGAACACAAGAACACAACACAACACTTCATCACAGGAATACTGGGATGGGGAAGTGTGGATAATATGTCAGGTTTCGTAGATGTTATAAACAAGAGGGATCTTGATGGAATCGTTTGCTGTTTGTGAAAGAAATAAACGACATCAATTGCATTGGAATTGGTCTTTCATTCAATTATTCCTTATTCTGACACCTGATTTTAGTCTACACCTAAATGAAGCCGCTTTGCGTGCGAAGGTGCATTCAATCCTCATAGTAGAGTATACAAATAGGAAATCAATATCACCGACGAGAATTGCGATTTTTATACTCATGTTGATTGCGCATAAATAACGAGACATTCTACTCAAGCTTCAATCCCATTATTTAATTAATCTATCTCTCCTCTCCTTCCACTTCCCATAATTAAGACTTCCAATTCCAATTCCAATTCCAAGCCCGATTCCAAGCCCAAACCAAAAAGATCAAACAATCCATGGTATCTTGACGCCATAACTCCATTCCCCGCCTCATAAGCATTACCATTCCCATCTTCTCATCCATCCATTCGTAATATCATGACCCATCTATATATTATTCCACTTTCCCGTCTTCCCTTGTCCACATCCATTATTGTCCTCCAGCATTATTTCTATGCAGTCCCATCGACATCACAACCAACACTCTTACCCCATCTCTTTTCTTTCCTCACTGCCCACCCTTTAATTGCAATCACCAAGATAATCCAAGCCATCAAAAATGTGATGAGACCCATGGAAACTGTAAAAACAAACATCGCATCGAGATCATTCATTTCAATTGCCTTGACTGTATCTTTGCTCTACAATTCTGTTAGTACTGGTACATCCAGACGAGAGAAGGAATGACATACACTAGCCATAAAAATCAACCCTCCAGCCATCAAACAGAAAGCTGTAATGATTTCCGTGGGGGGTCTACCAGGCAGAATCGAAGTTGGTGGTGAAAGGTAGAATACAACATAAGTAGCAGCACGTGCAAATGCTGCACCCACAAGTAAAGTTCCCCATTGTCCATGAATCATAGTTGAGACCATGGAATGTTGATGGTGAGAACTCATCATCATTCCCAATAGCATGACGACTAAAGCGGGGATTGGGTTCATCGAAAACCTATAGGATTTCGGTTCTTGGGCTTCTGGATGATAGGGAGACATTCGAGATGATGATTGTTGGAGTGTGGTATTCAAAAGGTTGCGAATTTTCTTCGACTCAATAAGCATGCCGCACTATACAAGTTAGAAGTGTTTAGGAATTTATAATCGTAAAGACTCACCAATCCACCACCAATAAACATAATGGTGATCGAAATATGCTCGAGATCTTGTGCGCTCCATGCACTCCCCCAAGCAGCCAGATGTTCCAAGAAAACGTTCGTGGAGCCATAGAAGAAAATAAGGAAACTTTCTACGAACTCAGCGGTTGGAGAAAATCTCCGCTCATCATGAGGTTTGATATTCCAGGACCAACCAATTTCGGCGAAGCAACCTGCCCATCGACCAAGAGTTAAGATTCCATACCAGAAGAAAACTGAACCCTTAATGAAGTGCGCAAGACCACTATAAATTTCTGCTCCTTTCTGCGTTGACATTTAGTGTCTGAAGATATATATATATTCATGGAGCTAGCAAAACTTACAAATAAACCACCATACGTGACGAAACCAGATGTGAGAATAGCAAAACCCAGGAGAAGAATTACTCGATCCACAACGTCACATGAAAATTGAATTACTCTCAAGAGACGTGCAGTAAGTAATCCCGGAAGTCGTTTCGACAAGTATTGATCCACCTGCGTACCTTCCATCAACCCCACTTTTTCAAACTCGTCATTTTCCGATTCATTTAGAGTATTTTCATCATCTCCAGACAGAGACATCGATTGGCTTCGTAGAGATTCGGTACCTGGCTCAGTACCTTGTCCACTATCATCCGATAATCTGGGAATAGGTTTAGGTCGTTCGTGGATACGGGTATGCTCTGCCATTGCTTCTCTCGAAACCGGAATGTACCCAGAGTTCTCCTGTTCCTTCTCGCCTCTACGCCCCGCGTAAGCACTGGTGACCCCTATTAGGGCTTGTGCAGTGACTACCCATATCAGAAACCACCCCAATTTATGATGAAAATTATTCGGATAAAGGTCCGGAGTGGAGGCATTGTATATTATACTGCAGAGGAGACCACCACCGTTCAAAGCTAGAAACGCGAATTGTGTAGGGAGACTTAAACGAGATCGAGAAATGGAGAGCATCACACCTAAAATATATCAGATTTTGGAGACATTTTACTGTTCCCGAACTACTCACATATTGGCAGAACGAACACCCATCCTATGGTCATGAGTATAATATGAGCTACCATCAGACTTCCATGTTCAGGATATCGAAAATAACTAGAAGGTTCAGCCACCACGGTGTCGATGCTGGCTGAAACCGTGGCTGTAGAAATAGCTGTGGCTACCGAACTCATTGGTATGCTCATATCCATTTCCGGTTCTTCATCGCCGTGCGCGGCTATTAGAGGTGCAAGTCCAAGCAATATAAGACTGCTACATAATGCGATTTTTCGCAGATGTGAAGGCATCTGATTATATTTCGTACTGTGCTAGTAGTGTAAGATCGTGTTATAGTAAGAAAGGTATTGAGTGTGAAAAAGAGCACAATGTAAGTAATCTAAGGGTATCTGGGTATCTGGGTATCTCAAGGTGTATGGAACAGTGAAGGATGAGGTAAAAAGAAATTACAAGTGCGGGCGTTCATCAAATATGTATACTGATGAAAACAAAATAGTGGAACAAAAGAAAGAGGTATTCTAGAAGAACAGTCTTGTCTTTACGCCGAAAAGGAAAATGTGCGGGTAAAGAAGTCGGAAGGAGGTAGAAATATTGCCCGCAAAATGACGACAAATAAATAGGTTTCCCGTGATGGAATCATGGGAATGAGGTAAAAGCGATGGAAAGAAAGCTTTTTTGCCAACGGTGATGACTCCGTAGTTTCCGATATCAAATGGAACCATAAGTTTTGAATTTCTTACTCCACTGAGCAAGTTCGCGCCCTGTGGATTGAAATGTCAATGTGCATATACATAGGCGTCAGCCAGCTAGTACGAGGTTTCAAATGACTAGGGATTGGATATTCGGCATTGTTTTTGCGAAAGATCGAGATTGGAATTTTGGTGGATTGACTACCTTACCTGGCCTTACCTACCTTGGGTGCTCTTGAGTCTTGCTGCTTCCAAATGGATTCTAGATTGCATATGATTTTTTCCGATGAGCCAGGTACCTAAGTATACAAATGTAATTTGATAGATGACTAAGCTAACATTTGGAAGCAATAAGCTAACTACCGCAAGCGGCGGCATTTAAAATGGGTGATATCATCCGACTTTTCCATTACATTTGATATTTTAATTCTCTCCTTCAAAAGGGCTATACATGACATAGCAGAGTAAATAGCTAATTACTGAATATGACCTCAGCTGTTTGTGATGAGTTCTCTCTAAATTCTCACATCATTGCATGTCTTCGTTGTTCTTTGTTTTCATTCAGAATTCTCGGCATCTAGCTAAGGTGGGTTATCGAAGCTAGGTAAGAAAGCCATGAGAAAAGCTATAGGGCTTGGCGTGCATGAATATGACGTGGGGCGTTAGACTGAGTATTAGGTATTCATTAAGCTCTGTACAAGTAGCGTGCAAGGTGATCAAAGTATTAAGTGTATCCACAGGAGAACACCAACACTCAAAATGAACAACATCCGCGCAACGAAACAACCGCGCGACAAGATATACATATAAACATGCTAGGTACACATCCTGTCAGGAAGAGACAGCAGAAGATTCTCTACCCGAAATTCCATGCATATCATCGTGATGAAGACGAAACTCATATGTGAGACTCGCTACAACATGTCCTCCCCGCAAAGAATCGAAGAATTCAATCACAACGCACATGGACTCAACCATCTCAATAACATCAAAGATCTGACAGCACAGCTGACACACCAACCTTACCATACTCCGGTCCTTAGACTCATAATTACTAATGGATAATTAACAATTAATAATATACTTTCCACCGGCACCTCGCATGAAAACACCAAGTCTACAACAAGGCTGCACCAAAAAGAGAAAGGAAAGAGAAGAAAGCTCCTCACATGAAAACTCTTCACCAATAACATGAATTTCCAACCCAACATCATGTCCCCGCTCGTGACTGAGATCATTATGATAGCTCGAGGATAATGCTATCCGTTCCACCCATGCATGTATGACTAGTAACCTCCACTAGCAACCTTATGCTTACTATCCATGCTCTACCATTGAAGATCATCCAACCACCACGTTTTCTTTCGTTCCTTACCTCCACATTTATTACTTCAGCAATCGAGCCATTTCAACGACACTCAACTCCGACATTCCCGAAGACTCATTCATGATTCATCAATATCCTCACCTATTTCTCTTTCAGTAAGGTAGGAATAAACACCTGGCAGCCTGTGAAAATTCTTCGAGACCTACTCATGGTGGGACAAATCTCATCACGATTTCGACTTCTTGCATGCGCGCATCGTGGCACGAGGAACAGAATCAATCCTCAGACCATGCAAGTGGTAACGGAAACATCGGAACTATCATTCATCGCGACCATAGATAAACCGACAAGGCGTTTTTGCTCAACTTACACATGTCATGTCCTACACCCCCCCTACCATGTCATACCGATGTCTAGTAACTAACTTGGAAAATAATCATCTGATTATCGAAACATATTCATGCTTACAGACCAAGCTCCTCCGAAGAAAACACACACCGTCACCACGTTTCTTACTCGTCAGCCTTCCACATAGTATACATACCTCTGCGCCAACGTCCAAAGGTTACAATGTACATCGACTTCCAATCTTTCACGCCTCCCAGAACCCAAACAAAAAACACAACGAACCACCTTTCATCAAGACTGACGCCATCGACCATCCCGTTCCACGCCGAGACCGTCACTAAAACCTTCTACACACCGTGCAGGCTGCAGCTCGCTTCTCCCATCCTTCAAAAGAGGGGGTCCTAGCTTCCACCCCTCTCGCTCTCACTACAACACGCACACTGCAAACTAGGATACATCTCGGATATTAAACACTGCTCCTAACCTAAACTCCGTATCCTCACGTCATTGGCTACGGCATTTTAAAACTGCATTCACTCATTATTATCCCATCTTCGATCCGATTTCATCACATGTTCAATACCTCAGTTCATCTGTGATCTATCAGATCATAATAGATCTCGCTAATACATCCCCGGCATACTTCGGAATCCGAGAAATATACAAAAATTCCTAGTACTAATTAGCCACCAACAGACAGACTATCGCTCAATCTTCCCTTCCCCCTCCGGCATATAATCCATCGTAGACGTGTAAAATACCCAACAAATCTTCATCCGCGTAAACTCCAGACCATTCCACTTCCCTCCTTATCCCATCTGTACCAATCCGAGATAACCTTACAACAGCAGAACCCCCACCTCATCGCACCCAGCAGTATACCTGTGTATCATCAGCAGCCCCTCCATCCTCCATCCTCCATCCCACTGGCAACCCATCTCTCCCGATTCCGAGCCGGTTAAAATGGCAACCACATACATACATGTACACCGCCAGAAACCTTCTATTCCTTCCATTTCTTCTACATACTAGGTAGGTACTTCCCATACAAAGTCCCGGACATAGCGCACTCGTCATACACACCTACCCCTCCATCCCGAGAACCACAAAAAAAAACAGTCACCCATTGCACCTCGTGCCCTAGCTATAAGAAAAATTGACTTTGATAATCTATTTCTACTTCTCCCCCCCCTCATCACATGCTTCTCATCGCATCTCACCCCGCAGGCAGCTGCTGTAATTAACTTATATCACATCATATTATATCACACAGATTCTATCCTACCATACCCTATCCATTTCTCAATTACCATCACACCATTTCCCGTACCACTTCATCCACCTCATTACCCATGAGTCATGACAGTTCCGGTCTGATTCACAGATCTTCGGATATCGAATCATCCAGATTGTTTCTCTCTTTAAAGAAAAAATACAATTTCTGTATTGTATAATGGGTATATGTAAGTAATATAAACAAGTATTTCCCGTTGAGAAATAAAGAAACACCTTTTATAACCCCCATTTCTCCCCTCTTTTCCGTCTCCCTTCAAATCTCTATCATCCATGAATCACCAATTATGCACCCCCAGCCAAATCCTGCTCCATATCCCATCCCATCAAGCAATACCCGCAACGTTAACGCCTTGAATGCAAAACCTTATATCCCCAGCTCCAACCCAAAGCACTTTATGTGTATACCATATTCCAACATTCCACTCTGCTCTCTGAACTTCCCCTATCTTCTCTCATATAACGACGGGCCCTTTCGTTCTTATTATTATATATATGATATGCATTCTACTTATGCCACCCTCACTCCCTACCACATCATCAAGCTAGACTTTGAATAACGTAGAATAGCAGAAAAGCTTGTTCATTCAACACTTGACTCTTACTCGCCAACGTAACATTATGGTCATTGAACTTAAACCACTGGTTTCCGACTCGGGAGTAGGATACGTAGTGACCTATTGTCGAATTTCTTATTAGCCAACTCTTCAACACCGTCTCAAATGAAAGATTGGGAGGGGAAATGTAGTGCTTGCTCACCAGTTTCCAAATTGCCAACATGGACCACAACACTCTGCAAATCATAAGTACATGATCTGGCCAGCTCAAAATTATTCTTCGTGTCTACACCACGAGCACGATTGGTGTAAGGAAGCATATGTAATTGAAGTGGAAAGGTAACAGTGGTATCGATCTTTGAGGCCAGACCTCTGGGGTCTTGTTTGAAGCGCTATTCTCGTGTTAATTTTGTGTTGATTGTTGTAGATCAGTGATAAGAGAGAGATATTTACCTTAAGTTGAATACACAATACGTTGGGTAGGCTTTTGATACTGAGTTGCTTCTTTGCCTCTGAAGTATCACATTGATTACATGAATACTCGCAACGTTCAGGTCGAATATACTCTTCGTCTAGACAACGTTGAAGACTTATCGTGCCAGTGGCTGCCTTTAGCTTGCTCTTTTTCTGAATAACATCAAGACCTAAACTTAGATCTAGGAATGACTCAACCGATGTATTCACGTCTCCGCAATTCTGACATGTGATAGTGCTTTGAAGCTTCCCATAAAATGTCTGGTGGACAATGCATTTGCAGCCTTGATCCATTTTTGATCGCTTAGGATTTGGGCTGCTATCTTCTGGATCGCTTGCTCGTGATCCACCGTTGATTTCGTGCAACTCCTCGGTAAGAAACTGGAAGAACTCATGAGCGTCTTGCTCTTTGTTACTTGCCAACTCTTCGTATGCTTTTCTCTTCGAAAGCCAGAAGCTAGCAAGTATATTTGAAGCTGAATATCCTGTTGTAATTTCTTGCGAATAGAAATCTTGGAACATGTCATCCATAGCGCAACTCATACAATTTTTTTGTTCGCATTCGCTTGCTTGGTGACCGTCTCCGAGGTAAAAGTTTCGAAGCAGAGGATTATGAACGAAAGATTGGAGAATAACATTCATATAACAGGTGGCTCCCATATTGTAGATACCCCTAACACCACTTGCTCTACAAGGAGCTGACATTGTATTTGTGGATATAAATCTTGGGTCCTCTTTTGTGGCGTCTGTGAAAAGTTCGTCATGTTTTCGCTTTCGACCTAAAGTGAAAAGCAAAATCAGCATATTGCGTGAAAAGACATATTAACGCCGCTGGCAAAGCTAGATAATAAATGATATGATGCAAAATAGAACGGAGATATTTGGGTATTTGTGATGCAGACACCGTGGAGCTGTAGCTAGTGCCAAAGAACTCCTAATCGAAGCTTACCACAACGAAACTCGATGATAGTATGAAACTCATGTTTGACTTACTAGAAAAAGACCCAGTTCCAATTTTGCGCACTCTCAATTCCTCTAGTGTAGGATCCCATACAAAATCACTGCACATTTGGCAAAACAAAGCTCCCGTCCTTGATTCAACATCTGAGTATTTCACTAATTAGCGAGGTCTTGAACATCGACATTGCAAACCAACATACAGAATCTATGCGAAGTCTCCTGGCCATGCTTTACATGATCCTGAGCCGTAGCTGTTCGTTCACATTGCAAACAGAGGTAATTTGGCGTCAGAGAAGTGAGGGGCGGGCCTTTCGGCGTCTTAGACGTCTGAGGTACAATTGGTGTATTATCTAGAACCACTCTCAAACAATTCTTATAATATGTAATTGTGTTTCTCATACGTTCATCATGAGCCGGATTCAATAGTTGTTGAATATGCTCTATGATGCTATATTAGCAATTGATGAGAAGGCTGAGAATACGACACGAATGGATTGAGAGACATACGACAGCCATATTTAGGAACTCCAGGTTGTGGCGATTTAATCTTTATAAACCGAGGGGAAGCCGGAGTTACTGGTCTAGATGTCGACATTTTTATATGTGCAGATCTCCTGCAATTGCGACAAAATCGTAAATTCGTTGATGGATTTTTGATTTCTGAACATTTATAAATGAATTAATGTGAAGCTTAAATGGTAAGCCTTGCGGAAAATCGGCCGGGCGGTGAGACACTAAGTGGCAATATATTGAAAGGCTATTTTCGGGGACTGGGGTTATGGTCCCCTATATGAATATCTTGTACTCGAATAGGTATTAGATAGGTATGTCGTGTTACAATGTACTCAGGTATTCTCAAACGGTCTCTTCTTCTAGCTACACACAATACTAGATAACATGAGAGGACCCAGGAGGCAAAAAGTAAGTATATCTTCCCAATTCTATACATCCATTTCCTCAGCTAAATAGGTAACTTGGCTAGAAAAGGTATATTTGCCCTTGTCTATTGTACTTTGTATGAAGCCACAACGTAAAGCCATGGAATACATACAGAACCAAATTAAAAAATGCAGCTATTATAAATAATATCTATCGACTTCCTTTCTATTAGATTCTGGTACAAGTGTATCGAATGCCATCAAGTCATCTCATCTACCCGAGTCCTTTGCTCAAGGTTATTAACACCAAGTCATGCTTATCAAACAGCCATCAATGAACCGAGGCTTATCGGCATTGCATCATTCCCAGAGTCATCTACTCCGACATCAAAGAATGAACCTTTATCTACATTTATGATATCCCTTAAGAATACGATCAAGAAAATGGCAACACAACTAGTGTCACTGCCGGAAGTGGAGCGATTGAGTCCTACTGTCATTCGGATCCTTGGTGGAAATCCGGGAAAGGTGAGGAGTTTGAACGAAAGAGCTGGATTGTGCAATGTCAGCTGATATCGAATAGTTTACATTGCAAGGTTAATACAATAGTATGAGGTAGAGAGTTTGATTGTTCTGACGAGGTTTTAGGGACGAATACATATCTTGTTGGAAAAGGAAGAAATCGATTGCTGATTGATACGGGCGACGGGAAGGAAAGTTGGATCCAGAATTTGAAAGAGACTTTAGAGAAAGAACAAGCTACGGTTACGTCTTGTATTCTCACACACTGGTGGGAATTTGTTCACTTTAAAGACCATATCTACAGTCGCTAATTCAAAAATTTAGGCATCCTGACCATGTGGGAGGAGTCGGCCACTTATTAGAATACTCGCCGAAAACTGTCATTCACAAGAACAGTCCAGACAAGGGACAAACAGATATTAAGGATGGCCAGATCTTCGCAACAGAGGGTGCAACTCTCCGTGCAGTTCATTCCCCAGGCCATACACACGATCACATGGCACTGGTACTGGAAGAAGAGAATGTCATGTTCACCGGGGATAACGTGTTGGGGCATGGAACCGCAGTGTTTGAGGACTTGGTGACTTACTTGAACAGTCTTGAAAGAATGAGAGGACTTTTTAGCGGTAAAGCATATCCAGGACACGGTGCAGTATTAGAAGATGGACCCAGCAGAATTGGAGAGTACATCCGGCACCGAAAAGAAAGAGAGTCCCAGGTTATCCAAGTGCTGAAGTCCGCAAAGAACAAGCCCGGAGTTACTGTTGCCATTGATGAGGAAACGGATGAGTGGACCTCAATGGAGATCGTGAAGATAATATATAAGGATGTACCAGGGAACCTTCATATACCAGCGAATGGTGGCATTGTTCAGATTCTAAATAAGTTGCACTCGGATGACAGAGTGGCCAAGGAGCAAGATAGATGGAAGTTGAAGGCACGAGCCGCTCTTTGAAATGTATTTGATTCTTTTGTAATGGGGAATAGATACCCTTTAGTTATGAATACACTATTTCTCACCATCTGACTTTCTCCACGTCCAATGTTCGCATTCAAAATTAGCGAAGCAAAAGAACTCGTTACTCAACCCCTTCGCGTGCACCGGAAGGAAAGTCGTGGTTGCAATACCTTGTCTGTTTTATGTGAGCTAAATTGCCACCAGCAAAAGAAAGGATACTACTCACGGTCGATAAAGCTTATTCACAATATCTCCTACCCGTTCACCTGTACAAACGATAAGCTTCGATGGCGGAGCCTCTTCTTGTCCCCACGACATCAACGATTCGTTTTGACCCCATGATTTTGACAGCCATCGAACAGTTAGAGATGCTAGAGAAGTCAGTGTCATATCTTAAGTATTATAACCAGAAGCTGAGTGACTGTGTACCTTTTGTTTGACACTCCTCGCTCAAAAATGGCGGGTCACAAATAACACGATCGGCACATCCTTTCAAATGCGCTACAGGGCCATCATTAGCAATGATTCCACCCCCATCATCGACAGGTACTTTGAAACTCACAAGGAAGTTTTAACGGATTATTGAAATCATAAAAGTTGAACTCCGGAAACACGCCGAACCTCTCATCAAACTCCAATAAATGAAGCGTCGGCCTCTCGTCCGCCGCCCACCCTGCCTTCCAGATATTAACTTCATGATCACACGTTTTCCTCTACTACAAACTTAACTTACAACAATGTTTTTCAACTGTATGAACACACTTGGAGCCGATACAACAGCAATAACCGTATCAGAAACAGCACCTCTCAGGAGTTCCTGGGCGAGGATTGTGGCTGTCTCATTGGAATACTATCACTTATAAGCATCCAAAACTCCTGAATCAGATCCAAGAGAACTGACCCAAAATTGCGATTCATTCCAATCCTCGGCGAAAGCATCCATAGTCAAAGGCACGCCATCAGCCTGATCTTCAGCCCGCTGCTTCAAGTCTTCAAATTTCTGTTGATGCGCATCTCGGTCTTTGTAAAACTCTTTCAAGGCATCAAGCGCGGAGCCCGACAAAACGCTATTTTATAACATTAGTGAATTTTCGAGTGTTCTTCAGTCGCAGTGAGCTCACGGCATATCATCATCTTCTGTATTCTCCATGGCTGATACTTGAAATTATTTTCAAGAAACGTGATGGTGGAAAATTGTGGACGGGGTTTGGAGGGGTAAAAATGTGGGGCTGGAGTGAGATCTTGAATTTTACTCAAATAAGTTGATGAAAAATTATTGATATGCGAAATTTGTGAAGTCTAGAAAAGGGGGTGCTCTTATGTCGTCTAATTTTCAAACAAGATTATAATCCTTGACGGTGGTTTAGAATTGGGATATCACACACAAGAAAAGTTCTCAAATATTCTAGGCATATGTACAATTCGCATGCTATTATGAATACATTCCATATCCAGAATCAGCCTTCTACTGGTCATCAAGGACATGCAAATATTTCTTCTCTTCCCTCTTCTCGCGTTCTGTTGATGGTGGCAGGTCATAGAATGCTGCACTTCGATATCCCAACTATTTAAAATTAGCATTGCTGGCTCGAAACTTTGGTAGAAGATTATGCATACCAGATAATGGAAAGTAAGACTACTGAGCTCTGCTGGCTCAATTCCAAGGTCTTGGAATGTTTTTGCGGAAGGATCGATCTTTTGATCAATGAATTCTCGCTCAATTTCATCAGCAGAGATGACAGGCCACCAGAGAGCTTTGTTCAAAACCCCGGCGACTGGCTTAAGGATTTTCTTTGGTAAATTGATGTGTCGACGATGGTTATTGATTTCTTTATCTACCAAAGCAGCGATTTCTGCTGTTGAGTAATTCTTGGGGCCATAAAGCTCATATGTTTGCGATGCAGTACTATCATCTTGAAGCATTTTTTCAAGTGCTTGGCCTACGTCGGGTGCCTGAAGAGATTGTTAGTAGGAAGTCATGCAATTAAAGAATTTAAAACATACGTGAACTGGCCAGTAGCGCTCTTGCATGTGGTTGGATGTAAGGACGTTGGTGAATCCAGCAAGCTTGTGAAGAAGACGATCCTCGAAACCAAACAATGGAGCAGGTCTCACAATTGTAGTTTCTGGGAATATACTGCGTACAACTTCCTCACCTCTTGCCTAATAAATATGCTTGTCAGTCGTATGAACCAATGTTTGAAAGAATTGGGCTATATACCTTGGTTCTATAGAACTCGGAGGGTGAATTAGGGTCTGCGTTGTAGGAAGAGACATGGATGAATCTATCCACGTCGTATTTGGCAACAGCATCGGCAATTCGCTCCGCTCCTTCAACATGTACATCCTCGAGATCGAAGTTCCTGATACTAATGAGTATTTTTCTCTAGATGGTCTTCTTTGGAGCATACTTAGTGGGATAGTTGCGTCCAACAAGATTGTAGACAACATCCGAGTGCCTAACACTCTCCTCCAAAGATTGTGTGTTTCTCAAATCGTATTCCTACCCGAAGTAAGTCAAGGTGACCCAAATACTGTCCGCAGGTTTTCTGCCATACCATGAAAATGACTCTACCCAAATCACCGGAAACCTTCAAATGTCGTTTGGCCATTTCCTCCCGGAAAGGGACAATAACTGTACATCCTTGTCTTGCTAAACCACTCTCACATCAGCCCAAGTTTCTTGCATTATAAACAAATATTCGCGTACCGAGTCTATTCACAATATAACGTCCGAGGAATCCAGTCGCACCGAAAACGGTTGCGGTATGCCCTATAGTATCAAATTAGGCTTATGTTGATGGTGGATTTGCTATTTTGGGAGCAGATATACCTCCGAGAGATGATCTGTAGTACTACACATTAGCAAGAAGATCTTTGGAAGTTCAGAGCCAATCTCAGAGTGCTTACCTGCCACCCTGGGTACGAATAATGGGCTTTCCGGTCCTTGTGATAGTGACATCAGATAACTTCCTGCTCAAAGGTACATTTTCAATTCCTCTTTTCGATCGTACAGCAGTCCGCAGACTGTTAAGAGTCGATGGACTGCAGGATTTCTGCATTTTTGCGACTGGGGTACAAATCAATTGAATCGCAGACGCAAAGGCAGTTGGCAGGGTTCAATTTGACTTGATGTTGAAGTTGTAGATTGACCTCGCGGGAGTCCAGCCGTGGAGTACACTAGTCTACATAAGGTTAGGCCCGACCTTGCGCAGCTCTCTCGTTGCCTCGCCTTAATATCAAAACCCCAACCAAACAGCTTCAATTTCTAACATTTACAAACACAAAAAGATACCCAAAGAATCCGACTTTTATTTATTTTGAACGGCGTATAAGTGGATACAGGGCATCCGGATAAAACCAATTATAATTCAATCCACCTCTCATTCAATCATCATGAATGTCGACACAATCCCCGACTTTCTCGGAGAGCAACGTGATGCTGCGCCAGCAGACCTTCAACACCTTTTCTTATCCTTCGAAGATCTCTGGGAAAAGAAGCTGTGGCATCAACTGACAGATACCCTCGTTGAGTTTTTCAATCACAAAGAAAGCGCTTCCCAACGATTACCAATATATAAGACATTCATCCTCACATTCGCCGATAAGATCAATCAGTTGAAGCTTGTTACTCTTGCTTTAAGCGCTGCTTCACAGTGTAAAGGTAATAAGACACTATCGAAGAGACCAAAACAACTGCTGACTCAATACTAGATGGTTCAGAGCGCCTGTCATTCCTAGAGGCAGTAGCAAAGAAAGTCGATAATCCCAATTCCCAAGATGCATACGTCTACGCAACAGTGGCTGTAGCCACCGTCAAATTAGAATTACAAGATCAGGATGGGGCAAGAAAAGATTTGGATAAGTCAGAGAAGATATTAGATGGGTTTGACTCTGTGGAGACGATCGTACATGCTGCATTCTACCGGGTTAATGCAGAGTACTATCAATCCAAATTGGAGTTCGCATCATATTACAAAAACGCTCTGCTATACCTAGCTTGTATCGACCTTAACGACCTCACCCCATCTGAGCGCAAAAGTCGAGCCTACGATCTGAGCATCGCAGCTCTTGTATCCGATACTATCTATAACTTTGGTGAACTTCTTCTTCACCCCATCCTCGATACCCTCGTTAAGGACGACGCCTGGCTCCGAGATCTTCTTTTCGCTTTCAACCGTGGTGACCTTGCTGCCTACGATGTTCTCTCCGGTCACATCTCCTCTAACCCCCTACTCGCACAACACCGCGATGGACTCAAACAAAAGATTTACCTCGCTGCCCTCACCGAAGCCGTTTTCCGCCGCCCTCCTCATGACCGTGCCATGACCTTCCGCACGATCTCCGAAGAAACTAAAGTTCGCCCGGACGAAATTGAGCATTTAATTATGAAGGCTTTGAGTTTAGGGTTGTTACGAGGAAGCATCGATCAAGTTGATGAAATCGCGCGTATTAACTGGGTACAGCCTAAGGTGTTGGACATGGGTCAAATCGAGGGTATGCGTACACGACTAGAGGAATGGGATTCCAGTGTCAACTCACTGGGCAACTGGATCGAGTCCAAGGGTCAGGACGTGTGGGCAGCATGAGGCTCAGCATCATAATCGTGAATGAAAAGGCAAGAATGGCGTCTTAGGCTTCACATCGGACTGTAAAATAGATATTCCCTCTCTTGCATGCATGCCTGGGGTTAGTTGTATTTGCATCGCGAAAGAATGAAATGACATATGAGAACAATACCCTTCTGTTTTATAACTGCATGTTTACTGATGGCTATGCGTGGCTGCATCCATTCTATCTAGAAGTTGTGCAATCAACAAGCAACCTTATTTCTTTTCCGCTCCATTGGCTACTTCCACTTCCACTTTCCCTTCTGCCCCATTCGCAACCTTATCCAAACTCTCCATCTCTTCCTCCTCCGCTCTGGGCTTTCCCCAAAGCAACATCCCACCCACAACCCACGCGGGCCACCAAACACACCAAACCACAACCTGTGTCGTCATACCTCCAACATCCCATCCGAACGCCGCTTCAACCAAAACATCTCCCACATCCAAACCCCAATATTTCGCACCAGCAAGCAATACAGTTGAAGGCGCAAGAACACCTAACAAAATAACAAGTATAGAAGCGATAATGGGTCTATGACCCAGTGGACGAATGTATGACAAGGGGGAAGATAGGATACCGATGAGGATTGAGAGGGAGAAATTGAGGGTAGCGAGGGAAGAGAGGTACATGCCTAGGAGAAGGAGAGAGAAGGATTGGATGAGGGATAGTTGGTGGGGGGTAGGGGTTGTGCAATAGGGGGAATGAAGAAGGATGGAAAGGGCTAGGGGAAGGAAGGTGTTGAGGATTAGGAAGATGAAAAAGACTACGGGGAGATTCTGAATTGTATGTTAGCTTTGATTTTCTTTTTCGGTTTGTATTTGGAGAGAGACATACGACTTTAGAAGTATGGTTGAAAATATAAAGGGGAACAAGCCCCAAGAACTGACATCCGGCTACAACAGCGAGAGGAAGTGCAAGCTTGCGTTCGCGCGTTTGAAGATCCTTTTGTGGGATAAGGGCTTTTGAACCGCCGGCTTCTACAATCACCAATGGAGCTTTCTCCTTCTCTCCTTTTTCCGTCGACAACACAGATTCTGTCTTGGTGGGACTGGGCCAACCACTTTTCACCCATAGGAAGATAGCCATAATAGTGAAGTTTGTAGCCACTAACATGGCACTTGGAAGATATGTACCAATACTCACGAAGCGATTAGCTTGCATAAGTAAATAGAAGAAGAAACTTTGATGGAGATGTTCCAATAAATTATTCAAACTTCGAAAAGTACTTTCGATTACTCTCCCCATGGCCATTTCGTCTTGCCAGCCGTTTCCAAATGGTTGAAGTGTGATCGCATCCACATGATATGGAATGAAACTACTATGAGGCCCAGAAGCATGACCTAATCCTTGATTTATCATACCACGTAACATAGTCTTGAGTCGATCTTGGTAGCTATCGCTGTGCTGCCACATTTTCTGGAGTGAGACTCTAATGCCCATTTGACCGCTAGCAATTGAGACTACGGTATTGAAGAGATCGAGATTGGGAAGTTGTCCGTTGATTCCATCGTAGACAATATGAATCGATTCAAAGCGGTGATCAAAAGGATAGTCGATGACAACAGCTCCTTGAAGAGCTCCGCTTTTGACGGGCAATGAATCGATAGCGGGCGACTCGTGTGTATCGTGATAGGCATCAACCCAAGCCTGAGGACCAGCTTTACTATCTGCTGTAATCAGGAATATGATATCCTTGGACCACAAAGACCACCGATTGAAATATCTCGCCAGAGTGAGAACCAAAGCAACACCACTGCGATTCAACTCCCCGTCAATGTTTCTCCAAGCCCCTACCAACACAATTGCTTCCGTGGCATCACCTCGTGGTGCGTGTAAGATCGCATACACATTCTCTCCTCTGTAAACTTCACCCGCGGATTTGTATTCATACTTTTGTCTCGCAACCTTGAGTCCTGTAGCCTTGAAGAATTCCTCGAGCTTATCATTCACTCTGCATAGCAAAGTCAGCTATATTCTCCAACTTCTTCCACAACTTCGCACATACTCAACATTACTGCTCTCCCCCAAAGCATCAACCTCCCTCTTGTATCCACGAAAAATGTTCTGATCACTTCCCGCAAAATATGTATGGACCTGGCCTGGCAACAGTGCATTCTCCGAAACATAAGTATTCCTCGAATAATCGTTTAATGGCAGAAGTAACAGCCATGCAACACCAATGGCTATGCAAAGAAAGGATAGATATGGTGGTAATTTTCGAACCGGCGCATGTCGCAAGATGGTAGATGCTTTTATCGTTAGAACAATTGGTCACAATGAACCGGAACACTTACATAGTAGCCCCATGGCTAGAAGAAGTCCTCACAAAATCAGGAGCGTTGGTTTTGCTCACATTGGGAGCTTGAAGCTTGGGTGGGTTGTCAGCCTCGTCAGAATGCCCGGAATTGAGGCGAGGTTCCGAAGACGCGAGATCAGGAGCCTACGCGACAGATCTTGGATTTCCCATACTTGTATGTTCACAATAGCATAAGACAATTAAGTTACTTTTATTTCATTAAAGTTCACAAAAATCATGTACCAAATGAATAAATGTACCTACAACGTGGCGGACGTCAAATAGCTTCATCTAGTTATATAGTTGTCATTAAAAAGCTTACAATTATAAATTTATCCATACTTCCTTAAGCTACCAGCGGTTGTTCTACCACTGATGTTAAAGTAGAAACCGAAGCCGTGTGTCATATGCCATTTCCACCATTTTTACTTCATAGCATGATCGCTCCCAGAATATCCGAACTCCGTATCATGCGTAGTCTTTGTACAGAGAGAAGGGAAATCATTGACTGGTAAGTACAATGTTCTAAGGTCCCAATCGCTGTGCTTGGCCAGGAAATCCTAGCGCAATATTTGTTTCCGGTGAGATAATAGGATTGTTGGTAGTAGGTAATAGTCCATATCTCCCAAAGGTTTTTTGGTCAACCGAAACGTAATGCGGTAATCGTCCCAAGAGATTCATTTTGCCCTCAATCCATCTAAGTATCTTCTCTGGTGGAGCTAAGAATTTGAGATAGCCCAGGCCCCCTATAAAAGTTAGCTAGTGGACCGAATCATAAGATAGAAGAGCACTTACATCCGTAACCAAACACAAGCCCGCAAAGATGCCCAAGGAAGCTAGTATGTGGTACCAAGAATGATATGAATAGTGTAAGGATAATTGGTGTAGTCCATGTTGGAATGTGTACTGTTCCCAATACAAAATTTGGGTTTGTTTTGTATGTCTTGATCGCTTCCATTGCAAGTAGAGTAAAAACCCAAATGCTAGGTTCTTTGTTAGCAAGACTCTCTGAGCTGAAGAGGAAGGATATTTTTCTCACCTGGCACCCATCACTCCTGTGTTCATGTGGAAGATTCCCCTTTCCACGAATGTATATATTAATGCAGGAATCGTCGACAGAGCTACAATATCCATTAGCTCTAGTTCTCTCGCATCCATTGCATCGAGGGATACCTACGGCCCATGAATAATGCCAACGTAGTCAATGTCCCATATTCCGCCTCAAATCTCTCCAACAATGGGGTTAGAGCAATGGTGCTCATTATCATATGTAGGAACCCCATATGTATCAATGGGAAGGTATTTGTGCGATACACTATAGTGATAACGCTATGTTAGCTTTACGTTCCATGGGAATCATTTGCGTGCTGTATAGAGATGGTAAATTTACTTGACTGTAACCCAATCTCATTCGGGTACAAGCCACCCCATTTCTGGAGGTCCCAAGCTGGCTGCAGACTGACGAGCCATAATATGAATATAATTGCTATTATACATCTCGTGAATAAAGGCAAGCGGAGGATATATGATCGTAGACGAGTTGCGCCAAATTGGGGTAAAGTAATCGCCATCGTGGATGTTGCGGGATTCCGGTTGCGTCGCCTTTGGGAAGATTTTATGGCAAGTTTTGAATATTCAACGACTTAGGTATCACTTCTTGAAGGCTTGAAAGGGTCTTGCAGCATCGTTCGAAAATCGATGCGCTGAGTGTTATGTTGAGCAATCCAGCATCTTTCGAAATTGTCTTGTACTTTTCGCTAACCTTACCGCGAGGCTGAGCTTCCACGCGCCTTGTCAAAGCATGGACTTTTACTTGTTTGAACAACCAAAGGACTGAATGCTTCTTACACAGTAAACACTAAAAGAAGCATGTTACTTTTTTCACACAAGTTTCATAGGAGATTTTCTCACATCTTGAGCACTATATTAGGCTTAAAATGTTCCTTTCGAGGATGTAGGGGAGAGACAAGGCTGATAGAATTTCATACAAACAGGCGAACGGATTTCCATTAGAAAGAGCCGACTTTGAAGAAGTCTTCAAATATGATGAATGAACCTAGAAGTGGTAGTAATCTTGCTGGGTTGATTTGGGTGGTTCTTTAGTACTGCGCTAGCTCAAGTATGCCGGAATTTAAAGTCAATTCTGATGGTCAAATGTTCATCGTGAGGTGTATTTGTTCCCCGGTGAGTTGTGGACGCTCATACATTGAACTCACCAGGAGTATTGTCCGTTTGTTCTCGGTAACCCCCCCGAGTCGTTCGGGATATGCGTTAGTTGTTGATTGAGTATTGTTCTAGTAGACTGTACAAAATACAAGGCTTGATCTCTGTGTCTATATATATATGTACCCCTTCTTCGTACTCGCCAGTTGAAACAAGACCATCCGTCACTATAGATGCTTTAATTAATACGCTTAAATAGTCATTAGCCCAATGACTTCATTCTTCGTAGATTCTTCCAAGAACTATAGCATCCAAAAATAAAAATTACATTAATCGATGCCTCTTCGTGTTAATGAACATTTGATTGCCTCAAAATATCAATAACCAAATCCAGGACTCCTAAGGGTTACAGCGCATGAGTCTTGAAAATGTTCGTGTCGAGCCAGGCTCCCAGAGAATCTACATTTCATAGTATAGCAACAGTCCACCCTACAATACCCAGTAGTATTGTTGAAGTACGCACTGCAGAACATGATCGTTGCGGTCAACTATATTCTCTCACACCACTCCCTACTACACATCTTCAACATAATTAGCGGACCTCATCGAGAAGCTCAAACAGTAGCTAGAATTGCTAACCACAAACTCATCTGACATCTACCTCAGTTAAGCAAAGGATACTCTCTACATACACAACAACACAATCTCCCGGAATCCAGACCAGGGTTCAATGGAAGCGGAAAAGGATCAAATTGCATGGATTTACGAGATAAATAGGAAGCTAAGCTATTGAGTGGAATCCGAACACTATAACGGAGCAGATCCAGATGAATCCATATTGGCTGCAAGGCGTAGCGCGCGATTTTACCTTGTCGGTCAGGCGTTACTGAAGATACTCGTCGTCGTCGTCGTTGGAACTGGTTTACATATTACAGCTACGTATTCACATTCATCACACACAATACATACTTAGTTCTAATGCGAGTCAAAAGATTGAAGAGACTACTACTTAAACAATGCGCTCTCGTCCTTGAAACCCTATTTCTCCATAATTTAATTGCTAGCACATGTGCATGATTTCCATAAATCAGAGCTGCCCTACAAGAAGTGAGGCATCATTTCATCTAGGCCATCATTAGATCCAGCACTGGAATACCAAATAATAAAGATACTAACCAAGAGATCATGAAATTTGTTCACAAAACCGCGTCCATCAAACAACTATACTTTCCTCACGCCAATTCCTTCCACGTTTCTCCATCTCATACAGTCTAATCTCTACTGACAGAATGAAATATAGAGCCCATAGCCGTCAGCCCCGCAAAGCCAAGTAATTAGAGCACTAATCAGAATTGCAAAATCACCTCTTCGTGAACAATAGCCATCGTTATATTCTTAATCCTCTGTTATTACACCTCTTAACAAATAGCGCAAGTGGAGGTAACGTCCGAAAGTTGAACCACAAAAGCCCTGATCCTCAAAGAATAGGGTAATGATATAACAAAGTACGACCTGGAGAACTTTTGCTTCTAGGCCTACAGGACGTTGACAAGTCATATCGAACACAAAACGAGAAGTGTTCATATAGCAAGAAGAAACACTCAAATTAAACCGAAAGATCATGCATATAGTTGCGAAATATATACTACAATCCACAACACTAGTAACTACAATCCATCCATAACTCTATACTAAATCTCCAGCAATATCAAGCTACTTCACACTATTAATTTCAATACCAATACCAATACTATCCATCCATCCATCCATCCAACCCCCCTACCCCAAGCCCACACCTGATAGCCTAACAACCACACAACAACCAGAAACAAACAACACAGCTCGCTCCACCAAAACCCCCATCCGCTATTCCATGCGATATAGCAATAATAGCAAGTAGCGCAAAACAAAACAAACCTCCAGCGAATCGAAATAAGCGAGTGGACAAAAAGGAGACGGAACGAGAATCACATCAAACCGAATCCAATCCAATCCAATCTTCTCACACCCTGCACCACTGCACATCAAACATGATATACCCCTAAAATCCAAAATCCAAAATCCAAAATCTTCCAAGGAAAAGAAAATCACCTCCCCCTTTTCCCTGCGAAAAAGAAAAGTTAGATATACTCTCTCAAATAAACAGACAAGTAGACAAGTACAAGAAAGAAGTCCAAAGTCAAAAGATAAAAGATAAAAGATAATAGATAAAAACGAAACAACGAAATCTAACACCACAAATCACAAATCACCCATCACACATCACCCCAGAGACCATCAGCAATACTAACAACAACATCTTCCCTACCGAACCTCTATCCCGAATCCCCATCTTTTATACCCCCAAACCACATTAACTTCCTCACAAACAGAAGCACCAATTGTATCACATCCCCATTCCATTCCAGGTGAAATCTCGCTTGCATCGTATGATGAATGCTATGCATCTAACTTCAGCATCACCGGTGCCCAATAGACCAGATAAGACTTGACAAGTACTGAAAAGTAGTTCAACCACTAACCCAAAGTCAAAAGACGACCGAAGCCACTGTAGTAAAGGTTCAACATCTAAAGATGAAGAACACAACTTCACTAGAATGCATTCCGCATGGCTAGATAAGCCATGATATCACTCGAGAACTTCTACGTGAGACCCTCAACACCTTTATGTTCTTCTCACAACTTCAGACATTCAAAGGAAATTTCAGTTTCACACAATCATTCACAAAAAGTCCATAGCACAAAACGTTAATTATCATAGCATTTTCCCATCTGGGAATTTCATACATTTTAACATAAAAAAGGAGGCCTAATGTACGAGAATAAACTGTAAAAGCAGAAACTAAAAAAAAGTGGCCCACTGTGATGAACAAAATACAGTAGCAGACCAGAGCAACCCATTAGCTCCGAAAGCCCAGAAAAATTTAATTCTCGTAAACCACCGCCCAACACCACAACCGCACCCAATGTTATTTTAATAATTTATGCATTCATCTTTGCCATTGTGTTCAAGGCGCTTCCGTTCTTGAACCATTCAATTTGTGGAGCGTTGAAAGTGTGTGCGAGCTTGATATCGAATGACTCGCCGGATTTGGGGTGGACTCTGAGGGTCATTGGCTTGCCAACAGCGATCTCAGTGCACAAAAGGTCGACCTGAAGAGGAAAATAGTTAGCATGATGATTCATTATAGGATACTTGTTCGAGTTTCATACCTTGTCATATGGATCGATCTTCTCATAGTCATCTGGGTTGACGAAAGTCAAAGGAAGCATTCCTTGCTTCTTCAAGTTGGTCTCGTGAATACGGGCGAAAGACTTGGTAATGATGGCAAGACCTCCAAGATGTCTTGGCTCAAGAGCAGCGTGTTCTCTTGAACTTCCCTCACCGTAGTTCCAGTCACCAATAACGACCCATCGGATACCCTTCTTCTTGTAATCTCTGGCAGTAGCTGGGACGGCATCGAATTCACCAGTGGTGAAGTTCTTGACCTTGTTGGCCTCACCGTTGGCACTGTTAATGGCACCAATCAACATGTTGTTGGAGATGTTGTCCAAATGCCCACGGTACTTGAGCCAAGGACCAGCCATAGAGATGTGATCAGTGGTAGTCTTTCCCTTGGCCTTGATCAAGATTGGCATATCCAAAGCATCCTTTCCATCCCATGCGTTGAATGGCTCGAGGAGTTGAAGACGGTCACTGGTTGGGGAAACGGCAACATTGACTGAGGCACGCTCGGCAGGTGGTGCTTGGTAGGTATCTTGTCCTGGGTCATATCCTCTTGATGGCAATCCATCACCAGTAGGTGGGGACAACATGAATTCCTTTCCATCCTTATCCTTCAAGGTATCGGTAAGAGGATTGAAGTGGAGGGAACCAGCGATAGTCATAGCGACTACGAGATCTGGGGATGCGACGAAGGAGTGAGTAGCTGGGTTGGCATCGTTACGTCCAGTGAAGTTACGGTTGTAGGACGAGATAATGGAGTTAGCAGTTCCTTTGGGTACGTCACGCCTGTCCCATTGCCCTAGTCGGCGGCTAGTCAGTAGATTTTCATGAAGGGGGAATAGAACAAGATGTGAAAGTGTTTTTCCTCGAGAAGCGTTTCAATGTCCGAATCAATCTCAACAATTGATATTTTTAAATGCACCAATCAACTTTAACAATTGAAAAGCCACTTGAAGTGAGAAATGAAAGTAATCACTCTCTCAGCAAAGCATTTCAATGTCCAAATTATGGTTGAGAATTGAATGGTCGGATCGTTTAGGCAAAAAAGGGGAGGAAAAAAAGGGGTACTAACCGATACATGGACCACATGCGTTGGCCAAAACCATACCTCCGAAGTCCTGATAAAACAGTTAGAATAACGTTACTTTAATGGTTCTGTGTACAGAACTACTAACCTCAAAGGTCTTCAATTGACCATCACGCTCGATAGTAGCACGAATTTGTTCGGAACCAGGAGTAACAGTGAAGAGAGCCTTTGCCTTAACACCGTGAGCCATGGCATCTTCAGCGATAGAAGCAGCACGGGACATATCCTCGTAAGAGGAGTTTGTGCAAGAACCAATAAGTCCGACCTTCAATTCCTCAGGCCAGTTGTTAGCCTTAACGGCCTCACTGAACTTGGAGATTGGGGTAGCAAGATCTGGGGTGAATGGTCCGTTGATGTGTGGCTCGAGCTCAGAAAGGTTGATCTCAATCAATTGATCGTATTGTGCACCTTCATCCTCTCTGAGTTCCTTGGCGTATGTGCGAGCAAAGTCTCCAATCTCGGTACGCTTGGTAGCAGCGAGGTAATCGTACATACGGTCGTTGAATGGGAAGAGAGAAGTGGTTGCACCAATTTCAGCACCCTGTGAATATGGTTAGTGACAAGCCAGAAAGATGACATGTGAATGTTCGAAAGGAATTGAGAAAATGAAAATATGTCGAAGTAGGAGATGAGAAGAAAAAAAAACATACCATGTTACAGATCGTACCCATACCAGTAGCAGAGATAGTCTCAGTACCTGGACCGAAATATTCGACAATAGCACCAGTTCCACCCTTGACAGTCAAGATACCAGCAACCTTAAGGATAATATCCTTTGGAGTAGCCCAGCCGGAGAGTTGACCAGTGAGCTTAACACCAATAACCTTTGGTGCCTTCAACTCCCACGGAAGGTTGGCCATAACATCGACAGCATCAGCTCCACCAACACCAATAGCGCACATTCCGAGACCACCAGCATTTGGTGTGTGGGAATCGGTACCGATGAGGAGACCACCTGGGAAAGCGTAGTTCTCGAGGAGAATTTGATGAATAATACCAGAACCTGGCTTCCAGAAACCAATATTGTATTTTGCGCAAGAAGTAGAAAGGAAATCGTAGACTTCCTTGTTGATATCAATAGCTCGAGAAAGATCCTTAGCACCTCCGATTTGTGCCTCAATCAAATGATCACAGTGGACGGTGGTAGGGTTTGCGACGGAGGGCATGCCAGCGGACATGAATTGCAAGATGGCCATTTGAGCAGTGGCATCTTGACACGCAACTCTGTCGGGTCTGAGTTTGAGGTATGATACACCACGCTCAATTTCTTGACCGTGAGGATCATCCAAATGTGAGTAGAGAATCTTCTCAGCGTAGGCCAAAGGACGGTTTAGTCTTTGACGAACAATTGAGAGGTTCTCAGACATCTTCTTGTAATTGATGAAGTTGTTCTTTTCGTGGATATTTTGTCTAACTTGTTTATCAAGCGGGGAATCACCAACAGTGGCCATTGTGCGAATGCCCATGCCGGTGAATGCTCGCCGCTGCGCAGCAGCGAGAACCTGTCTTGTTGCCAACATTATGAGAGAAGTTGGTAAGGTAAAAGAGGAGGGGAGAGAGGAAGGTTGTAGGTTGGAAAGATTATTATGCAACTCGAAGTTGTAAAATAGTGGGAGGAAGAAACTTGGACAACCGAAGCTTGGGGCCGCGGGTTATCTTCAAGCTTTGACCAAATGGAGCGGGCCAATCAGAGATGAGGTATTATGTTTTTTTTATATAAAACGGGATTAAAGGCGAGACAGGAATTGAATGCACCAAGATGTAATCTGGGTTAAGTTTTGTCCAATTAAATATCAATGTCGAGAGCGAGATTGATTGATATCAGAAGATGGCTGTATGGGATTGTATGGGATTGTATGGATTGTATGATATTGTATAGGATTGTATGGTATGATACGATATGATATTGTATTGTATTGTATTGTATTGTATTGAATTAAAAATATTGAATTGAAATAATCACATCAAGAACACACATAGCAAACAGGAGAGAACAGATGTTCAACTTATTTCTAATCTTCGACTCTACGTCCTTTGTGTTACTCTGCTCTCGTCCCTCTCGTTCCCTCCCCTCCCCTCCCCTCCCCTCGTCAACGAAGCCTTTGTTTGCGGCTATATTTCAAATGCGAATTTTTCGTAGGTCTGCAGGTCGATAAGTGGATCAAATTTTCAGATCAAGAACCAATCAGATGTCAGTGCCCGCATCCATTTATCCACATTCTCATTTGCTGGTGCATCTGGCTTCACCATCATTGTCCGTCTAACGGGTCCGGTGCGATGCGAAGTCGGACGTTTCCTCCGATCATGTGCTGTGAATACAGGACTTCCCCGAGGCTGAGTTGGTTCTTGACAAGCTGGGAAATCTTTTGACATGAATACTTTTTATATCTTACGAGGTATATCCTGTTATCAATGGTGTGGACGTGAGAGTATCTAAAATACTCAGTCAGATAGCTGTGCATGTTCAGCGGTCTTGAATTCTTGCATGTTCCAAATACTTGGAGACTTTCTATCATTATAATCGTCCCAACGCATACAAATATTATGGAACATTGAAAACGATCTCGATGGCATTTAGGACAAATGGTACTTCCGCCGGGACAGACGGAGCGGAGCTTTCCAAAACCGTGCAAAACTTCCGCACTCGCTTCCCGATCTAACCGTGAAGCCTCGGACAGTTGCACCACGTTGGATAACTTGGATTGGTCCTCTAAAGTGGATCCCCGGACAAGTGGGATGGGTAAAAGTTTCCCCGTAATTTCTAAAAAAAAATTAAAGCCTAGAGCAAATTTTTTAGTAATTCAAGATTGCGGAGTTTGCGACTGACAACCATTGTCCGTACATCGAGATTTCCATTTGCAGTAAAACTCCAATCAAGTCGATGAAATAAGATATCACAATCTTCACACATCAAAATGGGTATTCCTCAAAAGTCAACCAAGACCAAGACCAGAAGAAGATTGAGGTAAGTTCAATCTTCAATTGTCAGACATTGAAAAAATTTGTGCGCAAAACTAACATTTCTCACAACAGAGATCTCGATCAAATTTCTGCCGATATTCGTTCCCCAAAACATCTTGCGCAACATAAAAATTCAAAAGCCGCAGAGGATTTGCCAGGCTTGGGAAAATGGTATTGCATTGAGTGCGCAAAATGGTACGAATCAGAGAATAGTATGCTCTCGCATCTCAAGGGTAAACCTCACAAGAGAAGGTAGGTCATGCCCTTACGGGAAAAAAAAGTTTGGATAGCAAGATATTAATTTGATATTATAGAGTCAAGGCATTGAAGGAAGGACCGTATACACAAAGAGATGCTGAGGCAGCTATTGGCCAAGGACCTGCAGATAATGGCAAGAGAAATACGGCTCTGGATGTGGAGGTAGAGATGGAAAACTCCGGAATTATCGACGACCAGGAAACCTGAGCACAGATATCATTGCCCCTCGACATGGAGTAATCATAGAAGGGGTTTATCAAAGCTTAGTTTATCGTGGCTACTACAAAATCTATGGCGGGGTATCATGGTGGAGAAGGGACTTTTTAATGTGTATTTCCGTCTCATCTTACACCCCGACCTCGACCTCTTGCAAGACCACTTGCTCTACCGCCACGTCCACCACGCGGAACGGGAATACCTCTACCAGATGAGCCAGAGCCACCCGAAGATCCACCTCGGCCAGAAGAGCCTGCTATTCTTGATGGTGCTGGGGTTGTGAATTTCGGGGTTCCTCTCGAGGAGGTTGGGGGAGGATTATCAACGAAGGAGGTATCCGTGGTCCTAGAGAGATCAATGAGCCATGAACCATAGCAGCGAATGATATGTTGCTTACAAAAATGTTGTTTCTCCATCAATTTCACCACGAAATCTCTCTGAATTTGTTGATTTACCTATTGCACGCATCAGTAGCTTTTTCATTGCCTATTGATCCGTTATACTGACCTAATTGCTCCTCCTGTTCTTGTGCTCGACGAAATGAATCTGGAATGGGGGCCTAGTAACCTGATCAACCAATGCCAGACAATAAGCCAATCCACGTAAACAAACCTCAGGAAAATCCACGCAAAAAGCATTCATATTCAATCCATAGAGAAAACTAGCAAAGTTCTCACTAAACCTCGCCAAACTCTCATGCATCAATTGTAAATGCATAAAATTGGCCTCTAGATCAGCCATGGAATCCGACAATTCTGCAAACGCAGGTTCAAATGCCTCCAAAGGTGCACTAGAATAACCGCTTGTGCTTTTTCTCGCAGAATCGCGAAGAGAAGAACGGGAAGATGGACGGAGAGGAGTGGTTGGACGAGAAAGAGGGTTTCGAGAGGCGGAGTGAGATCGTTTGACGCTGCTATGGCCGTCGTTGAGGGGGGTGGTGGAGGTCATTGTGATTGTGATTGTGATTGTGATTGTTAGTGTGATGGTGGTTTTGCATGTACCGGTATTGTTGTTTTGTTTGGGAGGGGAAGCTTTTGTTCCAATTCTGGTTAACAACCTTATCGTCAATACCCAATCACCGCGCAAACAAAAGTGATCGCGTAGGTTCCAGATGTTCAATGCTAGGTATGTAATCTCACCTCTGTATGTACAACATACAACATACAACATACAACACCATCCAGGATTGATATCTTTTATCTGATAGCGGTGAAAATTAATGCCTGAAACCTTTCAACTTTTTATAAGGATCACGGATGTTATAGATACATTTTTACCCCGCCACTACTACACGCACCTACAATTTTATGTCGTGTGCACGAGTTTTGGCACACACAACATTTTGAACAGAGCGCCGCACAATGACGAACTTTTTATGAACTGGTATGGAAAAAAGGAAATTGGATTAAAGCACTGCTGATGATCCGCGGCTTCTTCGGATTAGAAGATGTTTCCGTTGCTCGTTGATCGTATTTTAATTTCCTGTAGCTTTGAGTTTGAATTATTTGCTCAGCATTTATAATATTCTTGAAGAGGTACTCATTTTATTGTTGTATACAATAAGCCAGCCCATAACTTGACCTCGTAACAAGTTTGCTTTGCTTTTCTGGTGACATTGATTCGAGAGGCCCATATATCACGGCTTGAGTCCCCTCACTTCCAATCCCAACCCCTCCTTCATCTTGACTCTCATTCAAGAATTGAAAATAATCGACTGTACATTTTTTCCATGAAAAGATCAGCTGGAGTAACCGGCGGTTTTGTGTATCAATATACTCAGTATTCATTCTCTATACCTACGACATTAACACGTCGAAATCCGAAGCGCGGGGGTCTTATTCAATCTTTTGGTCGGATACAAGCCTTTGCGCCCCTTCGTCGCAACTATTCTGAATTCCATTCAAACACTTTGGAGATCAAGGGATTGAATACGGAAAAGCGCGCAACTTTACTTCCTAACTCCGCTTGGAAAAGGTCGAGCGCTCCAACTTCTATCTATAATCGAAGCCCATCCTCATTGTCACTCAACTACCTTGAAAAGCGCAATACTTCTTGTGAAACATCTTTGCGAACGCTTGTGCAAAGCAGCTTAGGAAATTGGGCTACCGTCTTACTCCTCACATTCATTAGCAGCGCATTTCTCTATACTTCAACATACAGTCAGCCAAAGACACATACACCACCCAAACCACAACAGGTACAAATTGATCCCGAGCAAGAATATTACGAATATTTCAAAATGACGGGCGAAACACTTCCAGGTCGACCTGGCACATTGACAGCACATGAAGAAGAGAAATTACGAGAATTCTGGGTGGCCACCTTACAAGTCTTCGGCGTACTTGATCCTCAAGCAGATACCAATGGTACCAGCGGCGATTCGGAAGTGAGCAATGGTGTTGCAAAATCGGATACCTCGGCTCCCGAGAAACCTAAGAAGAAGAGATTCTCTGCTCTGCGCAGGAAAAATAAGGATGAAGATGCTGCATCCACAAAATCTGCAAGCGCTGCTTCGCGTATCTCGAATGCTTCGGATGCGGATGATAAATATGGACAGACCAAGGAATTTCACGATGCTTTGGCTAGTCTGCCACCGGCCTCGATTCGTGCGACATTCTGGAGTATGGTGAAATATGATCATCCGGATGCGCTTCTATTGCGGTTCTTGAGAGCTAGAAAATGGGATGTGGATAAGGCATTGGTTATGATGATTTCTACCATGAGATGGAGAGCTTCGGATATGCACGTTGATGATGATATCATGAAAAATGGAGAATTGGCTGCTGTTGAAGATGAGAAGTCGACTAATGCTGAAAAGAAGAGACATGCAGAAGGATTCCTTATGCAGATGCGCTCGGGAAAGAGTTTCTTGCATGGTTTAGACAAGTATGTATCCTGGGTTTTCTATCTACTTATTAATTCGAATCACATCTCACCCTTCTGTGATACACGCATATGTAGATCATTGCTAATATGAAATTTTTACAGAGCCGGAAGACCAATGTGCTTTGTGAGAGCTCGCTTACACAAACAAGGAGAGCAGTCGGAAGAGAGTTTGGAAAGATACACAGTTTTCATTATAGAATCGGCTAGAATGTTGTTGGAACCACCAGTAGATACTGCTGTAAGAATGCACTTTTCATGTTGAGTTTACTTGGTAGAGTAAGTACTGACAACATGACAGTGTGTAGTATTCGACATGACTGGATTTTCACTGGCAAATATGGTAAGTGAAAATCATCTCCTTCTCACAGGACCTCACTAATTTCATAATAGGACTATGGACCTGTCAAATTCATGATCAAATGTTTCGAAGCCAACTATCCCGAAAGTTTAGGCGTAGTCCTAGTCCACAGAGCACCATGGGTCTTCCAAGGTACACTTCCATTTCCCTCTCTACACAATTCCTTTCACTAACTTCCCCAGGTATCTGGAAAATAATACGTGGCTGGCTAGACCCCGTCGTTGCCTCCAAAGTCCAATTCACAAACAACGTCGAAGAAATGTCTGAATTCGTTCCTCGTTCCCAAATCCTCGCCGAACTCGGCGGTGACGAAAACTGGGAATACAAATTCGTAGAACCAGTCCCCGGCGAAAATGACTTGATGAAAGATACAGCAACCCGAGATAAACTCCTGAAAGAGAGAGAAAATATCGTGGATGCGTATGAGAAAGCTACAATGGAGTGGATCAACTCGGAAGGAAAAACACCCGACATTAAGACTAGGAGGACGGAATTGGCAAAGGAGCTCAGAGAAGATTATTGGAAATTGGATCCCTATGTTAGGGCAAAGAGTTTGTATGATCGAACGGGCGTTATTAATCCAGGTGGGAAATTGGATTTTTACCCAAAGGCCAAGGCGGAAACGGCTCCTGCGGTTGCGGCTGCTGCGGCTGCTCCGGCGGTGGAAACTTCGGCGGATGATATTGATTAGAGGGGGTTTGGGTAGGGGAACGGGAAGGACAGGAGAAGGAGGGGAATAGGAAAGGGTATAGGAATAGGGATAGGAAGATATATAATGAGAATGAGAGCGAGAATCAGAATCAGAATAAGAGTAGAAGAAGAAAGAAGAAAGAGATGATTTGAGATCGAATATGTGACCAGGTCTTGGTTCTTCGACTGGTGAAGTAAGCAGCAAGTGTGAGAGTTGTGAGGAATGCAAGGGATTTCAATGGATGTATGTATGTATAGGTGTGTATAGGTGTGTATAGGTGTGTATAGGCGTGTGTATGAAGTGTGTGCATATGTCATGTGTAATGAAGGGAAGAATGCAATTGTGTGTACAAAATTTCTTTCCCATGCTCGCTTCTAGATGTATGTACATGCATATGATCTCTTACATGTTTCTATTGTTATATTGTTCAAAGTTTGTTGTGAATTACTAGCACCCCTTTTTGATTTTATAGACATATCGATCTGTATTTTGCTGATGGGAGGGAGAGATGGAGGGAGAGAGGGCAAAGGAGATGAGATAATATTCCATTTACTATGTAGACTTGTAGGTGAGTGTGTAGCAAAGTTTGCATTTGGGTTAGTTATGCTTTATGGATTTTGCGCTGAGCCGGATTGGATTGGGATTTGGGATTTGCAGTTGAGATGAGGTGAGATGAGGTATGCAAGATACATAGGTGATGAGGGGAATGGAAGTTGAAGTTCCTTTTTGAGAATTGTTATTAATCATATCATGTATCTTTTCGGTCTTTTCTCAGTCTCTTCTCACTGCATTCATATCATCTCATCGATAGATCAACCAATTATCCATCCATTCAGCAAAACCAAAGCTATCATCTTCCTGCACCCTACACACAATATACCCCGAGATTCCTTTTTTTTATTAAAAAAAACCCAGAAAATAAAATTGTTCTTCATCTATCCAATCACTCATTGGGAAGTATTGATTCTCAACGCCTACTTCGCTTCCTTGCTTGCTTGCTTACTTACTTCTAAATACAACGGATATTTGAAGAGTTATTTACATCTTTGATTTTATCTCTGCAAAGAGAGCTTTTAGTTTGTCCATGTCGGTTTTTTGTTGCGGCCAGCCGATGGACAATCCTTCTTCGGTGGAGGGTTTGGGGATCTGTGGAGGGGGGAGGAGGTTAGTTTGGGATGGGATGGGGAATCGGGAATTGTGAGGATAAGAGGGGAGGGGACGAACCATATGGAAATGTACCTAGAGAAACTGTTAGTTATTGTAGTCTATGATGGGGATGGTAGAGGAGAGAGATATAGAGTGTACGAGGGAATAATAAGACGAGAAACATACGTGATCAACCTCCTGATGCGCAATACGTCCATTATTCTGAAGCACATTGTAGTTTTCCGCACCGGTTGCTACGACGAGTTTCTTTACTACGGGCTAGGTAGGAGTATTGTGTTAGTTATTTTTTATTCTTGAGAATTTCCCATCGGTTGGGATTCCATTGTAATATGTGTGCGTGGATGTGATATTCATTCATTCGAGTATGATGTCGAGGAAATGCGAAGAGAGGGCGAGGAAGGAAGGAAAAGAGAAAGGTACCAGAATCTCCTCTAATTGATCATCGGGAATATCGACCAACTTCTCGCCGTGGTGTTTGGGGATTACGAGCTAGATGTTGATAGACGTGTTAGTTTTGTTTGTCTGTATATCTCCTCGTCCCGCCCATTCCTCCATTCATGATCTGGAAACTTCGGAATAGCTTCACCCGCAGAAACAGAAGTATAGAAGCTTCTATATGACAACAAGAATATAAGAAAATACTAACAGCATGACCCTTGGACAAAGGATTAATATCCAAAAACGCAAGCACCTTTTCCGATTCGTAGAGTTTGAAAGAAGGGATGTCTCCTACGGATGGATAATCAGGTTAGCTTTTGTATCAAGCTTTGGAGTTGCGCCGGATATTACAGTGATGAGAAACTTGCCTTTGATTATCTTGCAGAAGATACACGCTGCTTGGGATGCCATTTGTGTGATGGGATGAGAGTTTATTCAAATGTGAGGTTTGGGATTGTAATTGTAGTTGTAGTTGAAGTAGTGTGGTGAAGTGGAATAATGAAATCACAATTCAGGTCTTCGTTACCTACTTTTGAACGCGGGGTCGTTCTCACATTCCTGAAGCTCCATTGAGCTCTCAACTCATACCTTGATTTCCGAATATTACCCGAGTTATTCAATCCACTCGCCCACTCTTCAACATATAAGGTATATAGATTTGAAACAAGATTACATCATCAACAAATCACGCAAACTTGTATGATGGGCATGTTGCCAGAGTGGTTAATGGGTAAGACTTGAATGAATAATTCGGTTATCTTATGGTTTCGGCCTCGTAGGTTCAAATCCTGCACATGTCGTTTGCTTTTTGATTTTTTTTTTGTGTTTTTTTGTATGGTAGGACAATTCTCCTGGTGAAAATTGCCCTCAAGTTTTTGAAACGTCACCAAAATACTTTCTTTCCTAAATGCTATTTCGTCACTTTCTTGGGTAGGAGTCGGGAGCGATCCCTCCGTGATATCTACTCGAATAACTGGTATGTCTTTCTAAACACATTTCTAATAGCACGACGAGTATTGTTCTTATGCGAGTGACTCTATGGCATTTCTTTCCTCTTTCAGTTATACTTCTCTTGAGTTATTTCTATTCCATGTATATCTACTAGGTATCTATCCTTAAGTTCCTACTTCAGGTATTCGTCTTCGAGCTGGTTCTACTTCATACATTCCTAGATGTCTCATGATATACTCATGATCACCTAGTAAGTATCGTTTCGAAACCTTATTGAACCATGTCAAACCAAAAATAGGATACTATTCTCGTAATGACCAGAATGAGAACTAAGCTCTCTCTCAAAAAGCGATATACGCCTCCGTTACCTCGAAATCCCACAGAGATCCTGTATCTCTAAGTTCCACGCACTGTATGCAGAGCATACATTTTGTAATCACACTCGAAATGAGAAATTGAGTTGTCTAACAATCGACACAGCTCTTGTGTCATTTCGTCATCACGTGAGTCTTCGTTTGAACTTATAGATGTCAACTCCCCCCCTTTTTTTGAAGTTTCCCTGTCTCTTCGCTACGCTCCGTCGAAAAAAGCGATGACTAGACTAAGAATGATAACAATGCCTTGACTTTTGGGTTTGTCATCTTCAACAATTACTCTTGAAGAACTATTTCTCCTTTCATATATATAACAAACAACATGAATCCCATCACTTTTTTAACACAGAGAAGGTCTTTTGGGGTCCAAAAAGACAAAAGATTTGATCACTGGCGGTTTCGAACCGCCGACCTTGGCGTGCCAAACCTATCTGAATGAACAGAACAGATATTAGCACCACGCTCTAACCAACTGAGCTAAGCGACCTGATTGGGTTATTTGATGCGGATCTCTTTTGTAGAAAAGTATTCATTCAAAACATCTGGGGTGGGGGTTGAACAATGACTGTAGATGGAGAAAGTGGTGCGAGGAGAATATGAGTGGATGGAGGGAGGGGGTATGTGGATATGCTTAGTGGGGGTGTAGCGACAGCGAGAGCGGAGACGAATCATGAGACAGGGCTAGGGTTTGTGCGCGGGCGTGAAGACGGAGTGGATAGTGGGTAGCGGAGGAATGGTGGGGCGGAGTGGTGGGCCTTGAGTGTAAGAGTACGGCTAATGGCATTGGTGGAGATCATGGACTGGGACGGAGGGGGACGAGATTCGGGAGGACGTCTGGGCCTTTGGCGAATTGTGGTATAGGTGTTGGTATCAACTTGGTTGATAAGTGTAAAGTACTTTAGTCTATTATGGTTGTAATCAGTGTTGATCATTATTATCTATAGTTACTTATATAGAAAGGCGCTAGCACCTCGCTAGCTAATACAGTGCCCTCTATGATCACATGATCGATATCCCGACAACAGGTTTAGGTTATGAAAATTTGTATGCTTTCTTAAGCATCTTGATATTAGATCACGAAGTTTATGAATGCACATGACAAATTCTAGTTGGGCATTTGAGAGTTCATTGCACATGTGTAACACATTTTTCATAAGATAAACACTGATCGTGAAACAGAATAAGACGTCCTAAACAACGTCTTGAAGGGAACTCGTGGGATTTACAGTGTGTATGTTTCGTCATTCATGCATTAATCTATCTAGGTATCTCTTACAAACGGGAACCAACAGAACTATCTTCTTTAATCTCGACCAATAATTTACCTATAGATTGTCAGTAAAAAGTTTTACAAGTACTGAGATAGGAAAAGAACTTACCAGTATTAACACCTTGATACAATTCCATTAAAGCTTTTTCGGCAACACCAAGTCCACCCTTGATAATAGTCTCCTTTCTTTGGAGTTTGCCTTCTGCCAACCATTGAGACATCTCTTTACGGGCTTCAGCATACTTGGATGCGTAATCGAAGACGATGAAACCTTGAAGACGAATTCTCATTGCGATGATCATTGAGAAGTTCTAACTTTGGTCAGCAAGTGCGGCAAGCAAAATTTGGAGAGAGTGTAATATGTACCTTTGGACCAACTGGAGTATCAGAGTTATATTGACTGATAGCACCACACATAACAAAAGTTGAGAATGGCTTAGCTCTGCTGAGAGCAAGCTCCAAAATCTCTCCTCCGACATTGTCAAAGAATACATCGATGAAGTTTGGTGTAGCAGCCTTGAACTTAGATGGGAAATCCTTATCCTTATAGTTCAAAGCATCATCACAACCCAATTCCTTCAACCATTGTACTTTGTCATCACTTCCAGCAAGACCCAAAACCTTGGCTCCCTTAAGCTTAGCAATTTGACAAACAACACTTCCAGTAGCACCAGCGGCACCAGATACTACAACGAAATCTCCAGCCTTGATTTTTCCAACTTCGAGAATTCCGAAGTAGGCGGTAAGACCAGTCATTCCAAGAACACCAAGGGCATCGGTGAGCTTGCCGTTGGGTGGGAGATCAATAGGTGTAAGGTCTTTGGAAGCCATGATAGCTACTTCTTTCCATCCTGTAATGCCGGATGCGTAGTCACCAACATTGAATTTCGATGATTTGCTGGCGATGACCTTTCCAATGGAAACACCACGCATGACCTCACCAATTTGTACAGGTGGAACGTATGATCTTCTGTCTATTCCAGCATTCAATGTCAGCAATTATCACGTGTGGTCGCGGAGTGTGTCAATGATGTTCCCCTCCATATCATTCATCACTGGCTAATAGGGTAATAGAGGAATGATATAACAGCTGGCACGTACCATTTAACCAACCTCTCATGGCCGGATCCAATGAAAGATATAACACTTCAAGCAAGACTTGATCATCCTTGAGATCCGCCTCCGTTACCATTGGATTCTCCTTCTTCTCGAAAGTCTCTCCTGGAACGATTTGTCCAGTAGGACGCTTTGCTAAAACCACCGATTGATATGTTGATTGAGCCATTATGTTCTTTGAACGTTTGATCTTTTGACCGTCCATTTTGATAATCCGTCTGCAGCCGGTCTCTTATATATGCGCGAATCGTTGCTTTTCGTCCGAGATACCCTTCCGAACAGATTTGTATATATTTCCGTTTCTAGATCAAACGCTTGACGTGATGTGGGCTTACTGCAATGCGGACCGATCCAATGCAATCAAAATCTATAATAAACACTACACCGCAACCAAGGACATCCAGGTACTGTCTCACGTCGTAATTCGATGCTTCTTCTCCCGTATCAATAGATTTCTCCGAAGCAATCGCGTTGCAATATTCACTCAAATCCACAAAAATTTCAAGGTGCTTTTTCCAAACTTGCGTATGTCTTCCGATGCAGTTTTGCTCAAACCTTCAAACGTTGCTGCGTTTGATGACAAAATGGTTCAAATACTCAAGGTTCACCAATAACCGTGAGCCGAGGCAGGCTCGCGGACGATCTTCTTGCCTCACCGAAATGGCCTTGCTTCCTATTTGGGTTACCATGCCGAAAGTACCGACATGCCGTTCTAGGATTTTCCCGAAAGCAAAAACTTATCCCTATTCTTATAAGGCTCGGCATGGAGGTCGTCCAGCATGAACTACAGCAAAACCTTTCTGTAAGGACATTGGGTACTTGAAAATGACCTATGTCCTTAAAACCTTCTCATAAGGATATCCTTATATTTTGAGATCCCAGGATGACTTGTATCCTTATTAGATCAGTAGCATCATCAGGATTTGGGTCATCACCTAACAGTATATTGATATTTTGATTGATTTTCACCAAAGATATCACGAATATGTTACTCGATTGGGACCAATCGGAATCAAATTATTGCTGGGTCAGGATTAATCGAGTGTCTCTAAATAAGACTACAAAAACCGGTATCCTTACAGGAGGTTTTGCTGTATGTCATCGGAGACGAACCGAAAGAAGATGCAGATGCGCGATTCCTCGATGTGTGCATTGACATCGGAGAATCTTATCGAAAAAGGATATTCTATTAGGATCAAGATGCACGGAGACGGCCAACGTTGAGACAACCGAGTGGACTATGAAGCAAAGGCACTTCGGCGCGAGCAACCGTATACGGTCGCAATCGCGTTGTTGAGAACTCTTTTTCTAGGTATCAAAATCAAAGCTCATAAATGAAGCAAGTTCATAGGCATTGTGATTCGTAGGGCTCGGTTTGAGACGGGCTTGAGCTATTTTGAAATTTGTTGATCTCGGGGCTTTTCTCTGCACAGGTAAAGTGGCTTTTAAAGTTTCCGTTTCCGTACGGGCATACTACTTTTTAAGGTACACTACGCCCGAAAATTCTTCAACAGAGGAAAGATTTTGCCTTTTTGTTCATTTTGAGACACACGAGTCGTGCATGACCGACCGGGTCGACCGACGTAAGTTTCGGACGCAAGTCACAGATCGTTTACGGAAAGGGGTAGTCAACGCCGTGCCGCCTCTTATTACGATTATCCTGCGTGTTGCATATAAAAACGTGTAGTTTTTTGCATGATACTACATGCGGACTGCGATGTCACGACAAGCAAGTAACGTTTATGCGGAAGATGGGAGTCGGCGCGGGGATATTTCCCCATGGAATCTTGTGGAGTTATGGGTGTCCGAGCCCCGCTACACTATGAGGATGGGATAGCCCCTCATTTAGGGCCGTAGGATTCAGGTATTGTTCTGAAAAATTCACCGCTCGATCAGCTCATTTTGTTCCACTATTTCAGGGTCTTTTGGGGCTTATCGTGTTTGTGTTAACAGACGACGTTCGGTCCAAAGTTACGTTCACCTTACTCCTTGACCAAAACCTCATATCCTGAAACCCTAGCCTGCCACCCTCTGTCGCTTTAGAATCGAAAAAAGGTCGTCTGATATCTTTGAGTGGGCTCTTAACTGCCGTTGTCATGTTGATTGCTCGGTACACACGAATATACACGGTGTATAGTGGATATGATTGAAAATATGACTCGACTTTAGATTACGATATACACGGAGGATTGACAGATACCTGACTTGATGATCCCTCGTTTCACGTGAGCCCTAGAGCGGTCGATTTACAATATGTGAAAATGTCAATTATACATATTTGGGATTATAAAAGAGAACTTCTGCAAATATTGCAATCTTATGTACAAACAACAATGCCGAAGTATATAAATCTTTCTTCCTTTCTTTCCTCCTATTTCAAATTTCCTTTATTCTCTCACTTCTCCCCACTTCTCGTGTATATTTATGCGGGGCAGCCAGTTGCTGGGTAGTTACAGGAGCTTTCTTCTTCACCTCCTGTGATCTTAACACCAGAGAACTTGATATTGCTACAGCTTCCCTCGCCACAAAGCACATAGTAATTTTTAGCACTGGCTGCAGCTGTTCCAACCACATTTTCAAATAGGATGTTCTCGATGATGACACCGTTAGTTGGCACTCCTGTTGGACCTCCGTTAAGATAATCTTGTTGTACATCGATTCCATAAGTATCAATATTGGTGAGCTTGATGTTGCTGTATGTGATGTTGGAAATGAAACCGGTGGTTTCGGAATTTGACTTGATGCGAGCTCCGTTGCTGGAATTGACTAATTCGCTGTTTTTGAACTGAAAATAAATGAGTAAGTAAGCTCTTCAATAATGAAGTAAATATAACCTACTGTGATATTTGTAACATTGTTATTACTCTTTCCACCAACAGATCCGATGGAGAGACCATGACCACCTGAGCAATATAATCCATCAATGGTGATGTTGTTTCCGCTCGTGACGGCTACACAATCATCCTGATTGAAAACTTGTGTATTCTTGATTATTGTGTTGCTGGATGAGCTGACATCAAATCCATCTGAATTATGTGCTGCGGCCAATGTACCACTTGCTGCATTTGGCGCGTTTCCTGCTGTGTTGTTGAGGACCAGATTTTGAATGGTCAGTCCAACAGCACCGGTGATAGTGAAAAGATGGACGGGCCAGTTTTGAATGTAAAGATTCTCAATGATGGAATTTCCGATCAATTTCGAGGCTGCAATGAAATGGTTTGGCCTAAATTCATTTTTAGCTGCATGGTCATTGAATTGCCGTGGAGACATACTTTGGCACACCACCGTTTGAACCAAGACCATCCCAATAAGCTTGGCCATTACCATCGATAATTGCATCAGGCTCAGCGGTAACAGTGATTCCAGAACCGGCCAGCTTTATTGGTTCGAAGCTGCTGTCATTGGTGAATCCAAATGTCGTTTTTCCAGCGAAGGTGATTGTTGTACCGGCCTTAACTTTGGTAAGGTCAATACTGCTACCTGATGGTGCAAACACGTTGCTCAAAACAATGGCGGTAGAAGACGCAACACAAGGAGCGATTTGGGAATACACCGAAGCAGTACAAGCTGTCTGGGCAGTGCAAGCACCTGCCAAGGTGAGGGCTAAAAGCCCAGAGATTTGAGAGTTCTTATGCATGATGAGACGATCAAGTAGAATGGATAGAAGTCAAACTTGGCAAGGTGAGGTCTTGAGGACATCCGCCTTTATGAAGTCTTAGAGGCCAAGCATAGCAATCTCCCAAAATTGTATTCTTTTCATGCGAACAATAGCCGAACAATGAGCGAAATGAATTTGTCGTGCGCCGGAATAACTATGTACATTGGTTCTCCGCAAATCAATATAAACTCAGACAGGAACGCTGGAAGGATCATCCATAATCTAACAGAAAATGGCAGCTCATAGGCACCAGATGTTGAACACACCGGTACTAGATATTATCTCCACAATCTTCAGACGAAAATTAATCTGCAGTGATGGGAATCCCCCTATGTTTCAACTCCATATCCCCAGATTTCAGCTTGGCAGCGGGTCGGCACTTCCCTCGTATTGACAAGTTTGAATTTTCCACGAATGGTGAAGTTCGCCAGAGAAGCTTTATTTGAACCACCAATTTAAAGTAGGTTTTAATAAGTCCCTTAAATCTTCCATTTAGCATGAATCTAGAACATATTTATGCTTTCTGGTTGGAGGCTAAGATTTGCCCGCGATGATCATCACGTGTATGAAACCACACTAAAACCTACTTATCCACCACCAGTCTTGTTGAATTTCATATAAAGTCTTGCAAGCCACTCGCCAAGGCGGAGGAATCGACATACTACTCAGTTTGTTGATTGGGAAGGTGACTAAAAGGCTGCAACGTTATACAGAAGAGGATTGTGGTACTGAGTCTCGTGCCAGATTATGTGACTTCACAATGAAAGATTTATACGTTGTATGGTTCAATGTCCAATTTTCGTCATAATGATGATTATCAAGGAGCAAGCTTCTTGAAGCGCTGGATGCGCTACAATCACCTACGCCTAGCCTAATTGATTCGGACTGGACAAACAGACGGAGAATTTGTCATGATCCGAAATTATCATTTGACCGACGGTAAAAGCTTCTTATAGCACAGAGAAAGTAAAAAGAAGATGCATTCTCTTGGCAGCGACGAGAAAAGGGGCAAAAGAATTCTTGGCTATCGGGACTAAGGAGATCAAGGGATATCCGAAGTGGTTAGATCACGTGCATGATGGAAGCTCCCGAACTTCCGCCACAATATCGACGATGTCCAGCAAAGAGATTTCCCTTTGCAAAAGATTTGACATCTGAAGGAATGCGAAATCTGGCAACGATTGGTAAAGCAAAGAGTATTGCTACCTTGCAATGGCGCGAGATGGGTCTGATCATGAGCCTTTCCGGGCTACATTGACATACAGAGCACATGTATAATGATCACGAATATGTGCTTGTAAGATTGCAGCATTCTCAATCCAGTCATAAGAAGAATAAGTCGAACAGGATGATGCTCTTTGTCACATCAAACGAAGCTCGAAGTTCCACGGCATATCCGGGGTGTTATTTATTTGACTCACCAATGTTCCTTGTCAAAATCTGGTCTGACATTGGGGGCTAAAGGGCGATTGCACGAAAAAGTAACATCCATCACATGTAGGATGGCAGCCATGCATTAAAAGCGAGTCGAGTTGCAACATGATTTTTTCAATTGGCCATCAGGAGCGAGTGCTACACGGGACCTTCCTTCTGCCTCAATGATCTTACCTCCATTGTTTGCGCCCATCTTCGGGTGCTTCTGCAAAAATGGTCATACGATCCGTCTTATCATTTACGATATCGAATCAAATGTTATCGTCATGTCGGTCGCAAGGGTTACTGTCCTCCATGCAAATTCGCGCTGAATCCTTGTATAATGGCTATGTGCATCCTACCCACTGTTGGGAAGCAAGGTTTGAGAGCAATTGATATAAGGGCTCGCCCTCTCTGAACTTTCTGTTTACTCTTAGGGGCGACCGTTTTCTATGAAAATTACCTTTTTCATTCTTGTCTTATGATTGTTCGCTTCAATGATGACCGCTTTTGAGGCATTGAGCTGTTCATGCAGCTACGACCAATCGCACGCAACAATTGACCGCGACGAAGGATTCAGACGAACCAAGATGTCTGATTGGCTCTAAGCTATGACACTCTACAATACTATTATGGATTATGGACAAACCTGTCAAGGCGTGCCAAACGGATTGATTTAGAGAATTTGTACAATGCCCCCGAAATCGCCCTTCTCAAAGTTACTCCTCGTGACTTGATGCTATCAAGGATTGGGACGCGTTCACAATGATATTTTTGACAAGCGACAGACGCTATCAGTGATTGATTGGTGTGCTGTACTGAGAGCGTGAGGTAAGTAATGAAATGGGTGAGGTAGGTTGAATAGGTAATTTGCAGACTCCCTAGTCTTTCCCCGTTATCCGACAATCACCACCCACCCCTCTTAACTTTACAGTCATTTGGTTTACCGTCAACAAGCTCTACTATTCAATCGAAAGTAGCTTGCAGGATTGATTGTTTTCGCCAGCCGACTCACTATTCTTATCATTACTATAGATTTACTTACCTCCTTTTCCAATCACCAAAAGTGTATGTTCATCAACCACTTCATTCATTTTCTAATGACTCTCAAAGACTAACTTCGTTGCCTAGTTGCTTCAATCAGAATGTCAAGCTCTTTCCAAACATCGATTTTTGACCTCACAGGCATCGACGTGCCGTCGAACAGTTCGTGCGAGTGGATTTTCCAAGGCGATGCAATTTCTATGAATCAATACTCTGGTGACATCGCCGAAGACCTTGCTTCAGACTTGGCCGACGAAAACCCCACCAGTAGCAACTTTGCGGCATCGAATAGCGGTCAACACAACAATTTTGTGAATACATCGGCACGGTCTTCTTCCTTTGACCATCATCTATCCGACAGTACTTGTGTTGCCGGCTCGTATGCAGATGCGGGAACCTCCATGAGACTGCATTATACCGTCCCATCCTCCGAATCGATGTCACAGTCCTCAATCTTTATCCCGACTCCAACTACCTCCGAATCGATGTCACAGTCCTCAATCTTTATCCCGACTCCAACTACCTCCGTTGATTATAATGGGGACAACAACATCCCCACAAGCCAAAACGACTCGGTCGGGTTGCAGCACCAATCTGCATACTTCATTTTCCCCACCTGTGCCAGTGACTCGACACCTTTCGACACTTGGGTTAAAACCCCCGAACGTCACGAGCAGATCGCCCTCAAAATGTCGGACCCTACAACTCATCCGGCCACACAAGAGGCAAGAAATTAGCTGGCAAGTAGGTGCAAAAATCTAAGTGATGATTCATATAAAAGGATGCGAAAGATCTTCATTTGGCCGGTGGATTGGTTTGGGAAAGTCTTTGTTTATGAGTTTGCCTTTGGATGTTCATTGGGGAGTACTGTCGGCGCAATATTGTTAATGTGATTATGAATGCAATGTTCATGAGGTAGACATTCGAGACCGCTGGCAGCTGTTATTTAAGAACGGGGACAAAGAATTGATTTGTCACATATTGCTCTTTTATTCACTTCATCTTACAGAAAGCACTAGGGCCTTCTATTTAGTTAGACAATTTTTACATGGACTTTGGGTACAAATTCAAGATCTTTGCACTCTTACATCGGATTGAATGTCCGTTTTTCGAAAATGCATGTTTGCCATTAAAGTTTAAGCTTAAGCATGAGGTTCCACAGTCTGCGTTCTTCCCCACTGCTACTAAGTTCTAACATTGCTAGTGAAGAAAGTACTGATCCCCAAGTTCTTGCCCACACCCATTCTTAGTTTAATTTTCCACTTCAGCACTTTCTCGTTATCTTTCGCACTTCCCTACCTATAATTTCCTGACCTCGTATCTCTATTTAATTGAGTCGTGTGTTTGTTTCATAACTCGATCTATTGTCCTTCCTCGTACATCTTTGACGATAGATGAAAACTGCCATTAACGGACAATACCCAGAGCAGCAAGCTGAAGCTTCGTGTAATGCGTGTTTGTGACCCATAGTTCGGAGTAAGATGATTACATTTTTCCAGACGGCTTACGAAATCCGGCTCAGGCATTAAAATTCTATGTTGTGTCAATGCTCCCAAATCATGATAAAACTACCCATCAAAATGACGTTAATGGTATACAAGATGAAGGGAGTCGTAGCTGGCAAATCTTCGTCCCAGCTTGATGGTCAAAATGCGGCTTTGCGAATGCAGGGAAATCGATCCGCCCGCATTCAATGACCAACGTGGGCTTTGAAATAGGTAACGTCTATGGAGATAGTATACACCACTCATTTGACCAAGAACATTTTAGAACAACATATATACAATTCGGTTTCATTATTTCCCAAACACCAAAACAGCATATTGAAATGTCTGGTTCGAATATGCTCTTCTCGTCGCCCTCAGCGCACCTACAAACGCTAGCCCTTCCCTTCCTTGCGAAAGAGCAAAAAGCCATAATTTTGGCTTTGTAATCAAGGACCACGATATATCCCTAACATGATTATCAGCCAATTCACGAATAAAATCCAAACAATCACTTACCATGTCCTCGACACCTTTTCACTGATCTCGAGTGGTTCGACCAAAAGACTTAGCCCCTTCATCCCAGCTAAGTGTACAAATACTTCTTGACTGATGAGTGGAGGAAGCATCATGCCACCTTGGAATCACCAAGATTAGCATCAAACTCATTCGTAATGTCTAGAGATATCTTACTTTCAATAGCTGCTAAGTCATCCTTTTGCTGCTTAATCTTCACACCATCGTTAATACAAGAATCAACTGCAAACCAATCCGCAAGCACCAGCTTTCCTCCAATATCCAGCAGCCTTTCTACGTCACTGACGAACTTTTTCTTATCTGGAAGATGGCTTATTGCATCCGAAATCCATACACAGTCAAATGTTCTCGTTGTTTTATTCCCAAAGGTTTCTTTGATCATCTCAGCCTCTAAAACCATGAATTTCACTTTTCCCTTCCCCAGCCTAATGAAACCATCTTCATCCTCGTCTCCGCCATCTGCCTCCCCTATACTCACTCGCCTCGCAATCTTTATCTCTGCGTCACTTAATGCGATTCCTATCACCTCACAACCCAATTCTCGGGCTAGATATCGAGATGTACCACCGAGTCCACATCCAACATCCAGCACTTTGCTTCCCGGTTCGAGGTTCGATTGGCGAACCAAGAGTTCTATTTGCTGTATTTGAGCAACTTCTTTTGTATCAGCGGGAGTGAGGAAGTATCCGTGGTGGATATGTTCGCCCCTGTTTCCGTGAGTCTGAGTGAACCTTGGAAGGATTACAAAGGTATAAACATCAAAGGAGACACAAGGAGACTTACCAAAGGGAATAATAGTATTCAGCGCAAACGTCGTAATGATAAATGATCCTATCTTTCAACAATTTTGACGCTTCTTCGGGGTGTCTTTCGCCCACATTCCGACTTAATTCACCACTCATCTTCACTTATAGAGATGCTTGAGTCTTTTGCACGTAATTCTGAGCAGAACTCTGGAGTAGATACTGTCTGGTAGTTGAATCAATTTCACTGATACCTATGTAACATGTTATGTTGCTCACCCAGAGCAGGTTGCATGAAGCGCTTAGATGTTACTCTAGGACACATTCTTTTGACCTCATGAATCCCCAGCGGTAGGAGTATCCCAAAACTCACCCATAAGCGCTCGAGAGACAAGAAACCTCGTCTAAAAAGACTAGGTGCCCATACGAATAGTTATCTCTACATGCATCATTCAATTGAGTGTTGTCTGTTTATTGTCCTATCAATGCGAACATGGAAAATTATTACCAAATTGTTATACTTTTATATCTAAGTGGAATCTTCATATCACTGCTTAGTGAGCTCTATGGGAGTTTGTATACCAAATTAGCGTCCTTGCGCTCTTGAAGAATGGGGTCGAGCCGAAGGATGCGAACCGCCGACCACATAGATCGTCGTCTTGCGCGGTAAAATATCCAACACACATGGTCCTTGCTCAATACCTTCTCATCCCAGTCGTCTTCATAGGAGATACATACCAGAATTTCCAATTCTTTAGGTTGCGCGCCGATTCGAACCGGGGAAGTTCCTTGCAGAAATCGTTTTAGGGCCACAAACAGACATAATCCGCCTCCATCGAGCTTCATATTCTCGAACACCTCTGAAGAGTTACTTTTATGTCGATTAAGCCTTCAGTTATGTGATTTAGAATATGCGTGTCTTGCGCAGTCTTTGCATTCCTTTCGGCTATCACTTTATATCAATCGCAAATGCTGTGCATCAATTACCGCTCCTATCACACGATTCGGTCGACGGAATGATGATTCGTAGGCAGGAAGGGCCCAGTAACCTTTCCTATCATCAACCAAGGGGCCTAAATACCAGTTGATTGAGGCTTCAATACGACCTACAAGTTGGATGTGTACATAATTTCGCTCCCGCCAAAATGTTGGGATGGAGTAAAAAGTCCTGTGCCGCCGAGTTCTGAATGAGTACAAGTCATCTTCGACCCCTTCACTCTGAAGTAACATTCTCTCATTAATCCATATTTACTTTTTTTTCCCAAAAAGAGTTCTTTCCTTAACTTTGTGGAAAAACGTCTGAAGTCATGTCTTATTACTCAAATTGTCTGAAAGTTTCAGACGAATGCCCTGTCTCAGCGACACCATTTGGATATGCGCCATCACTTCCAGCCAACGCTACTTTGTTGGCCATTTTTTGCATCGTTACGATCGCACAGTTGATACAAGGTTTCAGGTATCAGACATGGGGATTCACAGCTACGTTCATACTGGGGAGTTTGTGCGGAGTAATTGGGTATGCTGGAAGAGTAATGATGGCATCTAGTCCCTGGAGTCATGTTGGGTAAGACATTCATCCGTTGAATATATTCAGACGATACTAACGATCATTCAGGTTCACTCTCCAAAATCTCTTTCTTACAGTTGGCCCCCTATTCTTCCTCAACGGAGTATTCCTCTGCTACACAAACATAATCGAAACCTACAGCATCACTCTCTCCCGCATCAATCCCGCCACCTACCCTCTCATCTCCACTTCCGTCATACTTCTCCCCTTTATTCTCCTCACCTCCGGGTCTCTCCTCCAAAGCACCTCTGCAGTCGGCTTTACCCCACCCTTCTATCTCTCTACCGGCTCCAACATCGTCATCGCAGGCTTGAGCTTCCAATTGCTCTCGATGATTTGTTTTGGCGTTCTGCATGCAGATTATAAAATCCAAGTTCGTGCCTACCCCGAACAACTAAATGCGTATGCAGAGAACACACGCGCCTCGAGACGGTTCATGTATTTCTATATTGCACTTCCAACAACATTTTTGGCAGTCGGCATCAGTGCTATCTACAGAATGGCTGTTTTGGGGCAAGGATGGGGAATGAGTTTTATGAAGAATGAGATTGGATTTATTTGTTTGGAGGGAATGTAAGTTTATTGTTCTGACTTTTGTGGTGTGAGGATTGTACTGACTCCTTCGTAGAACTGTGGCGATTGCGGGTTATGCATTGTCGGTTGTTCATCCGGGTTATGTGTTCAGACCAACGGAGTACATTAATCATAAGAGTGCAGAGATGATTACTGATGATAAATTGGAAGAAGCTTGGAATTGAGGGGGACGAAGTCTGAGATGAATAGTCTCTCTTGGGGCAGTTGTATTGTTGATTGTATGGCAATTTTGGAGACTCGCCAATTGCTTATGGCGCTTATCGTGTGAAGATGCGGCCTTTGAAAGTCCACAGAGGTATTTAAGCAAGTGCAGGATGGCATTACGGGCCTGCTTTTCATTTTATCGTTCGTTCTATACCGAGATTGATTGCATGAATATGAAGTATAATTAGAGGAATGCTTTACTTGTGAGGATGATTTAATGCTTGCTTAATTGAGCCACCGAGAATGTGGTGAAGAGGCCACTCCAAGTGAGTCGAGACATTTCGCTGCCACTGAAATGCCAGATTAAGTTTCAAAGCAGAAGCTGGATTAAATTCACCGTCGCTCACGTCTCTTGCAAAGGTTAATTGATTATTCTGGAAAGTTGTACAAACTGGGAAACGAAAAATATCCATAAATCCTGAGATAGATTGTATTATTTGTGCCAAGACTCGTGATCATTGTAACTATGATTTTGGTATGTTGTATTTGTATAGGATCCCGGAACAGATCCATTCGCCAATAGGCCTGAAATTCTTTCGTCGCCGCCTCACCGACCACTCCAGCAACTCAAGTGGCCAATGGCAGTATTGCGAAGCTCCCATCGTGTGCTCTCTCATGGACTCTTTTTCAGGCCGAATTTCAAGCGATGCCTCGTCTACACAAGAATGTTTGTAAAGATTCCCGCACCTTGCATGGTTCCACAGCAGCTCCAATGCTCTGCTTTTCATCTTTTCATTGGGACATCTTTGGGTTACGAGGAACAGACCTGTTACTAAACCGTCATCTACCCACTTGAAAGCTTGGTTCTCGCTTTTCGGCACCAGAATCTCGACCCCACACTCAAGTAGTACAGCGCAAAGAGCTATGATCTGATGCTCGTTAACCGTGATCTGTGGGAGACCAAGACGCACGCAGATTTGTTTGATCATCAATGCTGTTGCGATTTGGTAAGGTGGCGATGATGGAGAACGTGAGAGACTAGATTTAAAAACGTAAGTAAATGCTCTCGACCATCTATCGATAGCTGTTACATAGGCTAAGACATCTCCTGAAGATATTATCGGCTTTGAATTCATGCTTAGGCGATTAACGTCGATTGAATGATCTTGGTCCCCTGGAGGTCGGTAATTGCAATCTGCGTACCAATTTAAGACACGTCGATTGAGGATATCAAGTAGAGGCGCGCTTGTTTGAGTGAGCTGAACTCCACGGGCATCTCTTCGAGGAACAAAGTATCCTCAAGATCCTGCAGTGACCCATGAGGTGCGAATGGTGGTTGAGATGGCATGAATAGTAGAAATCCTTGCTCCCAACGGATGAAGAGTGCAAGAAGATCGATATTGATTCCAAGTGACCATATTGAGTGTGTATTTTTGAGCACATGTTGTTCTCGAACACTAGATATGATTTTGAGGCCTGATACAACGGTTTTGATAGAAGCCTCTTGACGACCTTGATATAACTCGAAGATACTGGTCAAAACACATGAGACAAGTATACTTTGTAACTTTTCTGCTTCCACAACTTTATTTGTGTTCCGTCTCGCCAGACGTAGAAACTTTGAATACTCTTTCAAGGCGAACAGATAATGCTCAGAGGGGGCTGTATGTCGGGCGTTATTAGATAACGGAGCATCGAAATCCACTTCCATGTTTCTCGCAAGTGAACCTAAAGCGACGACAGCATGTTTGACAAATTCCTCTTGGTGGCATAATTGAAGTACAAGTCGCTCCCAGAAATCCGTATCAAAGTGTCCTGAAAGAAGCGATGTATTTTTATTCTTGAAGAACTCAAAATATCGGTATTGAGTCTCGTGGTCGAATGATAACGTTTGTGGTGATTTTAACGTTAGAGATGTCGTAAATGAATAATGTTTTGCTAATAATTTATTAGACTGAGGGAAGAGTTGTAAAGACCAAAACTCACGAGCTATGTTCGAGTTGACTATAAATCTTCCTTTCGGCGCTATCATTCTATGAAGTGTTCTTCTTCTTGGACCGACAAGCGATTGATAAATACAATCGCACCTGCCCACTAGGCATTTTTGACATGTAGGTTTTGACTCGTCGCATTTAACATGGCGAGATCTATCCAAGACCACAATATCAACAAGTCTTCGAAACTGTGGAATTATGTGAACATGATGTAGAACTTACTTGCCTAGAATGACTGGTCAGCTATGCATAAAAGAACATCTGATTAGATTCTTGAACAGACATGATTTGCAGCCTGTCCTTGATCTAGGTACAGCAGCGATCCGTATTCTTGGCGATTTAGCCTGCGACGGTGTAGACATTATGATTCCTGTAGATGTTAACAATGTAATTTCTGTAAAGTCTTCTCCCCTTAAGATTGAGCCGCGAAAGCAAGGTGATCGTCTTAGATTTTTTGCTGCTGCCTTGTTTCCCCTGTTCTTCCTGGATCTATACGTGAAGGGGCATCAAAGGCTTACCATCTCATGGGTATAGATGACATCCCACCAATTATGACATGGAATTGTGTAAGCCTGGGTGCACGTCGTATTTCCTTAATTGCCGGTTTGGTTTCCCTCTCGATAACATATTTGTGTACTTAGGAAATGAGCACTAGATGGTTATGGAAGGGACATTGGACCTCGAGATACTATAGAAAGCCATTTTTTTTTTTTTGGAAAAAGCTGATATAGTTACTATGAAGAATACTGTACCGGTGGGTCATTGAAGCATGCGGCGAAGTATTATGTGATGGCAGGGCTGGAAGAGTGACAAGCACGGACCAATATAAAGGAGGTCTAGTGCGTTACGCACCTGCATGCGTAAGACCCGTGGCTGTTGCTGCTTATTAAAACAAGACGAGATCAACCTCGAACCATCGAACGCAAATACTCAATATAGTATATATTTGATACAGACAAGCGTCCTGCAAATATATAAACAGGTGTACTCTGTATCAGTAGCGACTCTTACAGGAAGATACTTGGACACATCATAATCTGATCCACAATTCCAGGCTTCTCCCCAAAATATCATTCATTCAAAACTCAAACCTTGATAGTCGTGATATACTTCCTCGCGTAGTATTAACGACGACAAGATACTAAGGGCTTCTTTAATGGCGCAAACGAGAACTTTCTCATGGATCAGTGAACGTCCTCATGTACCACACCCAATCACTTCGAATCAGAAGTCCCACTCAAATTATCGCCCTCGAAAATCGCATACCAAGTCTAAAAACGGCTGCAATAATTGCAGGAAGCGCAGAATAAAGGTGGGTAGTGACCTGCCATATCGTCTTTATTTTGTCTGATAGAGGAGATAGTGTGATGAAGCAAAACCAAGCTGTGGTCAATGTTCAGACCGACTACTCGGGGCAGTTCAGTGTGAATATGCCGTTCTACAAAAGCCAGTCATGAAAGACCAATTACCATTGGAACAACAGATATCGACCGGTCGCATCTGTAGCACATCGGCCAGAGACCAAATAATTTCGTACCTGGAAAAGTCAGAAGTTCCGCGCTCGCACTTCAAAGATCCCATCTACAAGCCAGGTGATGCTTCTGAATTATTAAACCACTTCACTGAAGTCACTACTCCTTGGATTGGATCTCAATCATTTCAGCATATCATCCAGCAGTATGGGCTAAAGATTTGTCTCAAAGCCCCTTACCTAATGCATGCCATTCTTGCTTTTTCAGCAAGCCATCTTCAATATCTATACCCAAAAGAGAAAAAATATAGCATTGCTTTCACGTTACATTACTCTAAATCATTATCATCTTACTCATCAGAGCTTCGAACGAGCTTGAATGCTAGAAATGCAGATGCAATTATCGCATCATCTTACCTCCACACGATGCTGACCTTTAGGAATATTCAGCCCGACTCAAATATCGACACCGACGGAAGCGGACGACTTACTTGGCTACGTGCTATGCGAGGGGTTTCAATCTTGTGGGATACGAGAGATATGAATTGTCATCTCCGAGACAGTATTTTGTTGGATATGAAACACGATCCCAAATTCTTGAACGAGGGGCCTTGCGACCATGACAAGCTGGACGACGTAAATCCGTGGGCACTAGAAACATCTAGAGCACTTCATAGGCTATTTGAAGGGGAACAGGATTCAAAACTATTCAAGGATTCTTATGAGGGGCCCCTGAGGCACTTATGTCAACTGATACGACTCGGAACTGGCCAAGACACGATCTGCACGTTTATGTCGTTCGTGGGTGAACTCCCTGATTCCTTTGTGCAGTTACTAGATCAGAAGGATCCCAAAGCTTTGTTGATTTTATGTTATTGGAGTGCCCTAGTGAGCCAAATATACTACTGGTGGGTTATAGAACCCGCAACTGCTGTGTGTAGTAGGCTTTGTGCATACTTGGATAGTATTCACGATGAGAGAATACGTAGCCTACTACATTTTCCAGCCAACCAATGTGGTTATATTATGGATAGTGCATTTCTAAACATCGTCGAAGCCCCTCTAAAAATGGATTGCCACAGTATCAGTTTATAAAAATGTTTGTCGCCTTCAATATGGAATCTGTGCTTGCAATATTCCGAATCACTAGGATACCATCGGAAAAGAAGGGCTTCTGATCTCTTAAATTCTTCTCATGTAACAAATTTGATCGAAGTATTATAACTACATCCCCGAACCTACCGGAACAACCAATCCATTCTCCGGAGACTCACCCCTTTTCGAATGCTGAAATTCTCAAATTTTCTCCATCAAAATCCATATTTTTTATACAGGATAGGCTATTGGAAAAAATCGTCGCTGTTCAGAATTAGAAAAGGAAACTTGGGAGTTTCCCCTCAGAGGGCCGATCCCGCGTCGAAGTGCAAGAAATTTACTGCCCCAAGAGAAAGAAAACGTTGGCGCAATAGAGATGAAAGAGGTTAGGCAAAGCTGTGTAGAACAGCACTTAATTTTTTAAGTTCATAGGATTCATTCTCAAAATTTCGTACTTTTACCAAGACTTTCTTTCGTGTGCCCCTTTAGAAACTCTTCCACGGTAGTAGGTACCACTTCCGGATAACGACTATTATCTGTATCATCCAATAATGTCTGGCCGTTAGACATCCAGTATTGACCATATAAGCCAATCCAAGCAAATCCGTTTCTTGGGTTTTCTTTGAAAACAGAAGTCATGTTGTCATGGAGATCTTGGAGTGAGCCAAGTCGCTGGATATTTGGTTCAACCCCAAAGGCTTCCTGGTATAGATGAGCTAATTTCTTGATGCTCTTTGAGTCTCCTCGATCTGGAAAAGAATGTCAGTAAGACTTTGAACTCAAGATGATGTCAACATATATTCCGTGGCCTTACATTTTACAGCCCCAACAGCTTTCGGATCCATAGAAACTGCGGCTACAAATTTCGCAGTATCTTTCATGGCAGTCATCTCCAACTGTTCATCACCTGTACCATAATATCGAAACTTGCCCTCCTCAGCATTGACAAAACCAAGTAAAGGGCTCCATACGAATTCCATGAATGCTCCGTTAAGGATATGAACACCCTTAATATTGTCCGTTTGCTCTTTCTCCTGAAGATACCGATGAATATGTTTCGATGGATCTTTGGCGGGGTAATCGCCGAGTTTAAGAGGCCGATAGTCAAAAGTATAATCCGAGGCTATGTAGCGAGGAACGTTCTCTGCAATACACGCATCGATAAGAATCTTTTGGCCATCGACCATAAGCTTGCTGTCACCGAGATAACAACATATGCATACAGATGTACCGTCTAGAGCAGCGCGAATGGTAGAGGTGTCTGTGGAACTTGTCTCGAAAAGTCTAACCCGAGGATTCAAGCGTATGTTTTCGTCGACCTTACTAGCTGAGCGGCAAATACCATGAATCATTGCATCTGGATGGTCTTGAAGGATAAATTTGGTGATCAAGCGAGCCATTCTACCCGTGAAGCCAGCAATCGCTATCATTGTAGTGGAAGACATTTTGTGAGGAAGTAAATCAAATGGAAGTCTTGAAGATGGTTTGTTCAAATGGTATAACTGGATGATTGGATTGGGTCTATACATCGAGCTGTAGCCTACCTTTATATAGATTCACATATGGTACTTGAGAAGGGATTCTAGACAGTAATAATGATCTCTCCGCACAAGGAGGGTTCACCATACAGGTACATCAACGAATAAAATGTCAACATAGTGGCCATTCCCTTCCAACATCATTAACAACATGACGACAGACGTCAGCAAAGCATGACCGACCGACTTCGAATACGTTCCGCATCCGCACTAGCGCGATCTCACAGAGTGTGGCTAGGTACTTGTTGACTTTCTCCACACGGTACACCGCATACCACAAGTACTACAAGAGTGAGGTGAAGCGATGATAAATCATGTCAACGGTGCCACAGGTGCGGAGATGATGATGATATAAGATCCTGTTCTACCATGTCAAGGATAACAGTAAAGCAATGAAATACATTCTGCATATGGCTTAGTCTTATCTTTACACATGCGCTAGCCAAAAACAAAGCGTGTTCGCTTCGTCTTGCTTTGAATCTTTGACGCACTGTGCACATGTAGATCATGAGGAGATGATGGATCTAAACTTCTATTTTAAAATCTAATTCTTTTCTTTTGCTTTTTTTTTCCTTTGATCTTTCATAGATGGTTTTATTTACTACCACGCAATGCTACTGTATAAACTAACTTGATCCGAAGCATGCTCTTCCCATTTTGGACTGAGGTCTGAATGTATGATTGGGTGGATTGTGAAAGTGCATAAAACATTGAACATCTCTGTTGATCTTTCCATCTGGAATTGAGAGATAAGATATAACCTTAATTCAAAGGGGCTTAGCGTAGGATCGATCGCATGAGTTTATCCGGTAGCATGTTGCCATCTCGCGCCTTCGCTCTCTAGTTACTTGCGAGTTTGGAGATTGGTAATCCTGGGCTCATCAACATGTACTTCATCGCATATGTGGTGATACCCAACCACTAGTAATTAGCTTTCAAGCTGCTGCTTGAACTGTTCAAAAGCTCTGCAATTTCTCGATTACTGGTAGGTTGAATTTAAATTATCCTTCTTGATTGGATCTGAAACGTTTTTTATTTTTTCATTGTACGCTGCGTGCTAGTTTGAATCATCGCAACAGTCACAAATTTTCTCAATTGAATACCTTTTATTTCACAAAAATCATCACGACAAGATGTCAAGCTTCGTCGCTGTTGCAGGTGCAGCAGGTAATCTGGGCTCTCAAATTGCCCTTGATCTACGCAGGAGAAATATAGCTGTCAAAGCTCTTGTACGTCCCGGCACCGCAGCATCCCGCACCCAAAAATTGCAAGACGCTGGCGTCAATATAGTAGAAGTCGACATGAACGATGTTCCAGCTATCCTGAAAGCCGTCTCAGGTGCCACAACAGTCGTTTCAGCACTTCAGGGTCTCAGAGAAGTTATGCTAGGTGTTCAGGGAAGACTTCTCGAGGCTTCTGTTGCTGCGGATGTACAGCGATTCATTCCGTCCGATTTCGCTTTGGATTTTACCAAGTGCATGCCGGGGTCCAACAGAAATCTCGATCTTCGTCGTGAATTCCACACCAAGCTTGATGCATCGGGTATTCGCTGGACGAGTGTGTTGAATGGTGGCTTCATGGAACTCCTCACAACTGGTCAAATGCCAGTTATCAACGATAAATGGCACCGGATTTTCTATTTCGGCAGCGTGGATCAGAAACTAGATTACACGTTAATTCCAGACGTAGCTGCTTATACAGCTGCTGTAGCTGCGGATCCAAATCCAACACCAAAATTCTTACGTATTGCGGGTAGCTCGGTCAATGCAAAAGATTTGGCTGCTGTCGTCACTAAGGTTCGTGGTGAGGAGTATAGGCCGATGTGGACAGGAAGTATTGGATTCCTTCGGGTGTTTATTTCGATCTTGAAGTTCGTGATCGGGGGAGAGGAAACGAGTGTATTCCCTCCTTGGCAGGGGATGCAGTATGTGGAAAATATGGTCTCTGGAAAAGGAAAATTGGATCCTATTGATAATGATAGGTATCCGGATTTGAATTGGACGACTATTGAGAAAGCTCTAGCAGAGGCGGATGCGGAAAGAAAGAAGAGCAAGTCGCTTTGAAACAAGATAAAATGAGTGGGGAAATGGGGACTGCTTAATGATATTTGTATGTTCTAGTGTCGGTATGTTTTTGTGGCTTGCAACATTCATGTAGTACTTCTCCTTACCTAGCAATAAGATCCAAGTTTGTAACTGTGTCTATTCATCACAACTGTGTGTCATATGTCAGACCGGCAGGCCAGACTACTTTCTATGGTTACAGACTATTATCTTAGACTTGCGAGGAACATCTACCACCATCGACGAGAATGCTCATGTGAAGCAAACTTTTAAGATGCACGCGTGTTTTGCTTTTGCATACTGTACAGAAAATGCCAATTTTTTCCTTGACTATTCCGGAGCTTACGGGGAGATCAAAGAGATCCCTCCATGTGAGTCGGATATGGCATTGTCTAGAATGGAGGCATGCGTCAAGTGAAATATCAATCAGTGTGGTCGGATTATCTACCATATGGCTCTTCGTGTTACCACTGTGTCAAAATTACTCGATACATAATATCAGGCAGCCTTGATAAAATCGGGCAGTAGCAAATGGTAGTATACTATGGAATGGAAGAGATAGAATAATCTAGATTCATAACAAATGAAGGTCATCTTGCATATAAAGCGGTATCTTAGGAACTCGAAAAGAAATTTTGACAAGCAGCTCACGAAACTGCCTCGAAATATATCAGTACGGTACCCCAGTTCACATCAATTTTTCGATTTTGATCACATACGAAATGAAGACCCGTATTCTCATGAGGATAATGTCCACAACAATTCTTATGGCTCGCTCTGCCATCTCCTATGAAGAGTATGAGCACTCGCTGGCGACACCAAGAATGGTCGTTCGATGCAATGCGGGTGAATTTATCAGCCCTGAAGATATAGGATCTGCCCTCGATGGCATTTCTAAGCTTTTTCAACTCCAGGTTGGAACGCCTTTGATATCTTTTAATATCGGCAAAAACATAAACCGGGTGATATATACACATAATGCAGCACAATTATATGCCTGTAGTTGGAGAAATGGGAAGTATCACCACATCAGAAACCGGGAGATCGCAAAAGCGATGGTGGAAATCAACAGAGTTTGTGGGGGTGGCTATGCATCTATTGGTAGAGTATGGTTTCCTGATTGGGAAATCACTATAGGGCGTGGAATGGCGGGTAAAGATGTTTGCAAGTCGGAAAATACATGGCATACAAGATTTTTTTGGCTGATGCTTTAGTATTGAGTAAGGAGAAAAGTGTTGTTCTGAGTGTCATGCCAAGATTATATTGATAGCTACTCCTTAAGGGCCGAAGCTGCAATTCACAAATATTTTCATATGCGGCAGTCATGCATATGAGAGGTATTGAACAAACATCCGAAGCCAAAATTCGCGCTTACTCTTGTTATGCTGTTTTCCATTTCATCACACCCGCTTCCAATGTCCTCGCTCGACCCTTGAGCAGAGATCCTTCAGTGTTTGTGCTGCCCATTCAAAATCTGCCATTTCAAGATAGATTTGACCACTAATTCTAGCCCATAAGCCCCCTGAATAATATTTAGTAATGATCATCGTATCACATTCCTTGATTGACGTTTCCTCGATCCATTTAGCAATGTTAGGGGCATCTGAGGAGTTTATTGAGAAGTGCTCAGTCTCGGATTCAGCAGAAACTTCGACGGAAGTCTGCACAATCCGTAAAGGCAAACGGACATTGACGAAACAAGACTTGCTTATGGAACCTGACAGATTCTCCAAAATTTCCGTATGGAGAATTTCCGCCATTCTTTGACCTCCTGTCAGCGCGATAGTTTGACAATAACTGCGGATTTTTTCTTCTCCACCACAGACTACTTGTCGGAATCTCAATGCTTCAGGGATACAGATGTATGGCGTGGGGTCAATTGTTGAAACTTTTTGAAATATTTCATCAAAGTAGCTTGGTTTGGGAGAATCTTTCGCCAACTGAAAAGATTTAGATGTAGGGAGCGTGGTTCGTATGAGTACCTGGTTTCGGATCGGTACATGCAATATAGCGCATCCCCGGGGAACATAAAGCCACCTATTCAGGGTCAATTATAGGTAAATGATACTTTGCTGGAGTTTGAGTCGTACTTGTAGCAATTACTGACGAAAAAGTCTGGTCCAACCTGTCCTAAGTGCGAGAGATCAATGTGCCCGATTCCATGTGCACCATCGATGAGACTTAATACACCTAGATCTTTACACACTTTCACCATCGCTTCCCATGGAAATGTTACGCCTGGTAAAGTTACCACCGTATCAAAAATGGCTACCTTGATATTCCTCCCTTTGCTGCGTAACTGTTCAACAGCACCTGAGAATTTGGAAATAATATCCTCATCTTCGATGGGATAATCAATTTCAACGCGAAACATCTCCAACCCAACATGCGAGGTCTCGCAGATAGATTGAAGGGTTTTCTCACATGCCCCATAGATAGTGCTGAAATAAACAACCACATCGCCTTTCTCATACACGAGATTTCTCAAAACAGTATTGATGCCCGTAGTAGCGTTCGGCACGAACACAACTTCATCTGCTTCCACTCCGAGAAGAGGTGCAATGGCGCGGCGAGATGCGCTCAGTAGCTCGGGATAGGTGTATCGCAAAAATGTATCTGGGTATGATTCTATCTCGTCTTGCAACATGCGTTGATGGTCGCGCACACTTTTCGGAAACGCTCCAAATGAGCCATGGTTAAGCGGGTGGTATTGTTTGTTGAAGCTGAAGTGCTTCTCTCTTGTTTTACTCCCGAATTCTTCTATTGCACTCATTTCCGCAATCGAATGTATTTTAATCGGATTTCTTATTAATCTAGAAGGCGGATACAAACTATACATAGGTCTCGGTAATGATGAATGGTTAGTTCGTGGCCCCGTTTAAATGTAACTTCCGGGATAATGAGTTGAATGCTTATTGGCTCTGCAGGCGCCCCGGATATGATGAAGGTTTCAAAATAATTGTTACTGGGTAATATTGATGCAGGAGGTCGCTAGCTTTCTCAATTTGGATGAAGATACCGGTATACTTGCATAAATACCTAGAAAATTTCCAAAAGATACATATCATGGCCCCCAAATCAAAGGCTCGCCATCTGATCGTCGCGTAGATAGTCCAAACCCCGATTCAGACTACATTGCAACCCTATCAAACCAATGTAACCGTAAGATACTGCACCTTATTATCCGTGAAGAGATAATGGTTGCAATGGAATTGATCTGCCTCACTTGAAATCCTTCTTTTCTTGACCAATTCAAAGGACGAGTCAAACGGGATTTCGATATGGATCCACTGTCAGTAACTGCGAGCGTGATAGCGGTTGCTACGCTCGCAGGACAGATTGGATCAGCCTTATCAGAACTGCGAGCGCTTTGCAAGCAATTACCTGGTAGGCTCCACGCACTGAGCAACGAAATATCCGACATTGAGGTAGTTCTCTATCAGGTTGGTAGAGTCGTTGAAGAACGATCAAGATCCTCTCCTCAGATCTCACGAACAGACACGATATCTATTCCGAACATTTTGCAGAGGGCGGAGCTGAAATTGAAGGAGTTAAAGACAATCATCGACCGTCTCACCGCATTAACAACCAAAAATGGAGCCATCATTTTCCAAATACGCCTCTGGCAAAAAGAACAATCCAAGATACAAAGTCTACAGGAAGAGATAAGAGAAATCAAATCTAGTTTCAATGTTATTCTCGGGGCTTCTAACTCGTATGCATAAACTCCTCCATGGCACCTTGGAGCCACAATGTGTAGATATAGACACAAGCTAATCCGGATCCCAGGCGGGAGATGATGCGTGTCCGTCTCGATCTCGAGACATTGTCTACAGTCACTAAGCAAACTGCCCAAGCACAAAGCACTTCCTGGGAGGAGTTTCTTCGCGACATAACCTCCCACCATGAAAATGTTGAGGAGACACTCAATCACACATATCAACAGGTCGACGAGAGGATTAGTCGAGTTGAGGAAATGCTGAAGACTCAGTCAACTCAGATCCAAAACAGCCAATTTCTTCAAGTTGGTCCTTCTTACAATATGGGTCCTCCAGCATCTCGACGACGCCTATCTAGATCAGTCAGCAAAGAAAGACCGCCAAAGATGCCCAGTCGTCCCGAAGCCGTGGGCATTCGGCTCACTCAATACGCAAGCATTTGTCGTGCGGGATGTATATGTGCATGTCACTCCCAAACAAAATCTAGTACACCTGGATTCATGGACCGTGTCCTCGGCCAACTCTTCGTCGGATATGCTGGCATGCCTCTTCTTAGTCAGAAATGCGATACTGCCACATGCGAGAAATCACAATCTCCTCATATGAGCTTCGAATACTGGTTTCCCTTGGGCTTTTGTTGGTCTCAGATAATTCGTCTCCAGTTGGGATACCAACCGAATGTTGGACCACAAATGTCTCTAACCACCCTAAGACGAGTTCCCGACTCCGCCCAGTGTGTCAATTTTGCTTTGGAAGGTAACATTGAAGGACTGAAAAATCTTTTCATGAGCGGAATGGCATCACCTCGTGATGTTAGTACTACTCGGGGATACTCTTTACTTCGCGTGAGTTAAAACCACCCTTGACTACCTATTTTTACTAATTCTAAAATACAGTGGGCATTGTATGGCCAGCAGTACGAGACTTGTAGGTTCTTATTATCTGCAGGCGCAGACGCCGATTACAAGTATGTTATTTCATTTGTCAGTCCCCAAGAGCTCAGACTAATCTTCTCTTTTAGACCAATATCTCCCAATGATGAATGCCCTAGTGACAAGGCTTGTGATGTTATTCTTCGTGGTGGAATATCCGAGAGGATTATTGAGATTTTAAGGCTGCTAGGTGCCAGTAGTGATTTCGTGGAGAACCAAAATTTCGCCGCCATTCACAAGATAGTTCTGAGATTGTCAATGAAAGATCTAGAAGAAGAGATCCTACAAAATCCCAATCAAATTGATGTTCCTGATGCAACGGGTCGTACTGCGCTTGAATGGGCAGCAGCTCGAGGAGATGAACGTTCGGTGATAACATTATTGAGTTATGGCGCCGATCCCAACAATATAGACCATAAACTAAACACACCCCTTACATTAGCATCGAACCAGAATCATACCGTGTGTGTTAGACTACTTCTCGAAGCTGGAGCTTATCCGGATCCTGTACTCCCAAACGGTATCAAATTCGGCAGTCCTTTGAATTGCGCGGCGCGAAATGCTTCAGATCCTTTGTTACTTAAAACTTTGCTCGATTTTAACGCAGACATTGAAGCCAGCAATGTCGATGGTGTTACGCCACTACTACAAGTTGCCCGTGGTAATAGCGCCAGTCACGCGATGCTGCTCTTGGAATATGGAGCTAACATCAACGTAACGTCAAAAGCTGGACGTACACCACTTACCACCGCCATAATACACAACAACCATAATGTTCTCCAACTACTCCTTGATCGCTGGTACGAATATAGTGAATGTCCTCGCTTGAAAGGGCCGCATCTTCTTGGGCTCGTGGCTCAATATGCAGATTTGGATACTATATCCATTCTTGCTTCTACCAACCATCTGAGAATTAAATTTGACAAAGACTACGTGTTCGGGGATTTTGTCACCAGATTACGAGAGAGATCGAGAGTTACGGATAAATTACTGAACGCTTTCGAAGACCTACTAAACATTATTAATCAGGGTGCAGCGGAGCACAGAAGTGTAGAGAGTGCCATGGAATCGGGATTACTAGTACATGGGGAGTTCGAAGAGGAAGACTCGGATGAATGTTATGAAGATGCGCAGGAAGTTCTGATGACCATCTCGCCTGATTTTGGTTGTCCCTTTATCAGATTGGCAAAGAGAGCTACTATCTAGTACAAATTTGTGTTTTCGACATGCATTCACATAGAGATATTTGAGAAAGAATCTGGATAATGTGTTAGGAAATGGTTTGTCTTTCTGGCGTCCCTTGAAATGTACGGGGCTGTTTTGGGACGGAAATCTTATCAAGAAAAGAGAACCAGGCGTCAAAAAGAACATGCGCAGGGGAGCATTCTAGTCGTCAAGGAATAGCTTTAGTTCTATTGTATACCTATTTCTAGCTTCTATAGATTTTTCTCCACGAATGAATTGAAACAATTTAATAATCAATAAAAACATTATGTTATTAGCTTCCCTCGCCATTGATCATTGAGCCTGTATCAAATAATTCCTCACCCTCCACTTCATTGCCTTAGCTATTAGCGAGCGGCATAATTGTGTCAAAACTTCAGCTAGTATCCTCTCTCGCCCCGCATAAACATATCCATCCCATCCTCACCAACACCAATCCCTCTCCATCATCTCGATCGAAAACGGTACTCCGTATCTAACTTATCTTCCTCCTCCGCACACCCAATAGTATTATCCCCCAATCTCCACGTATCCCCCACGCCCCCCCTCACACACTCCTCCACATCTCCCATCAATTCCCTCACAACCTCATCCTCCAACGGAACCGTCCTCCTCTTCCCATCCGCCCCAAACAACATCATCCCATGCGCATACAACATCTTTTGCACCGCTTTAATACTAATATTATCCCACGAATACAAACCCCCCGGTTCCATATGCGGAATATTATGTATCGCTGTACGCGGAGGCGTCGAATACGTAGTTCGAATAATAACATTATGTGCATCCGGTCCATGAAGTAATCGCGGTTCAATCTTCGTTCCGTCCGGATTTAAACATTCAAGAGCCGCGGATATGGTATAGCGCACATTGTATACAAGATCTCCGGGGTGGCATACTTCATATGGGGCTATGAGTGGCATTGCCGAATTCGACGCCATGAGATGTCTATGTCGTTCGATTCTCATTTCCATGAGGTTTTTGGGAGCCCCGTCGGATTCTCCCTCGCCGAGTCCTTGGTATATGTTTGGAAAGTAGGGTCCTTCGGCTGTTTGCCAGTCGTAAATTACAGTGGGCAAGTGTTGAAAATCGGTCAGAACGACTTTGCGGTGAATGAGCTCTTGGTAGAGTTTTTCTCGACGGCTGACGGGGGCTGTCCCATTGACATGTATACTGATGGGCATGTTGCATTCTAGCCGCTGCTCAGGTGAAATTGATCGTTTTGTTGGTTGCGCTGCGTTGAGTTAATTTGAGATATTGAATGATGGGGATCCAAAATCGTGTTTGATATCGTTGATTGTGTATAGGGAGTTGTTTAAAAAATTTACGCATCATTTTGTATAAGCCCGTCGCTCGCTGCTGAGCTTCTCAGCAAAAGAGAAGCCGGCAGGAGCGTTCAGGAGGGGGAAAGTACCTTCATCAGCCCTTACCCCTTCTATTGCCAATCCATGTTTCTCAAAGAAACGAACTATCAATGTCTTATGTCTTTTCCCTAGACGCTAAATAATTATGTCTGAGAATTTCCGAATTCAGGAGTTTACGCGAGGAAAACTTTAAAGCCCCGTGATAAATATATAAACACCTATATACATATCATACATACACAATGATCTGTGCCACTACAGCCACTACAGCCTCTTCCATCCTGGTTCTCCTATTCATCTACCCCCCTTTCTATCCTCGCTCAAACAAGAGTCCTCACTCACCACCCACTGTCCGCCCCTCACAAATTTTCGTTGACCTTTTTCTGAGCAGCTTCTTCTGCTTCATTATCTCCCTTTTCACATAACAACCAAGCGACTCTCGTCTGGTTGAATTCGAATCGATTCATGCATTCATCGATTCTTCTCCATAGATCTTCGCCTACTACTTTGTTGCCTTTTGAGTTGTGGAAGTTGTTACGTTTCCATTTGTACTGTAGGTTTGTTAATTTTGACCCGTAAAGTGTTCGATGGGTTGGTTTGAAGGGGTGGGAGAGGGTGTGTGGGGAAGGTTTGACATGTGGTCTTGGTCGATATAACCAAAGTACCTTGCCAGATATGGCAACCCCTATTTATCATCCTCATCCCGTGCCTTCACACAAACCCGAAGAAAAATAAACTTACAATATGTTCCGTGATCCCATACCACAAATTCGTACTACTCGTAACACCTACCACCAATCCTCCCGCAGCAATCTCCCCACTAACATCCTCAAACCCCTTAACCCTCATCTTACATTCCAACTCCACAAATTCCAATGCCTCACACGCAGCCGCCAATTCGGCAATCTTCTGCATCTCTATTTTGCTTCCCGTCTCCTTCACTTTACCTGTAGTATTATACCTAGACTTCGGTCCAAAATGCACCGAATACGCTGCTCTATATTTTTCCTCCGTATCTCTCGACCCCGAAGAAGAAGAAGCAGAAGGAAACCCAAATCCGAGATCCAAAGCCTGAAGAGCATCACGTTTCACGGGAGCCACGGCCCCAGCAACACTAAAAACCAACGTCCTCGGATGTCCCACAAAATAACCCTCTCTCAACATCTTCAATCTTGAGATTTGCAATTCTCCTTCAGGCTCGTAGAAAAATAGACGAGGGATTACGCGGTTTTCATGGAGGTATAGTTCGGTGTCACTTTCTAGATCGAATTTTCGGGGGTGCAGAATCGGATTCTCGGATGTGGATGCGTGGGCAAGTGAGGGGTCGGTGGTGGCAGGCGTGGTAATCTTGTATTCTGTAGCTGAGGTGGTGGGAGGTTGAAAGATAGGTACGGTTGGTAGAAAGTCTGACATTGTGATGCACGTGGATCGTTGAGGGCTTATGTGACGATAGGGGTTATTGGACTTGGCTTGATTTTCGTAGCAGGACTTTGAGTAAGTTGTCTTATAATTGAGATTGAAATCGCATTCGGATTAAAAATGATATATTTCGAGCAATAGATTAAGTATATAAATGTAGAATTGGAAGTTTAAGTAAGTTGGTGAACGAAGAATAATTGAAGAATGGTGAATTATGTTGTCCCCTTCTCTTCCGGAGTCACGTTTGAAGCCAAACTATATTAAGGTTAGCTTCGTCCTTACGCCACATTTGATCCCAGCCACAATCAAAGGTCCTACAAAGTACATTTTAAACCCACGAAGAGAAATCGAAAGTATGAATGAGAAAAATGGCCCAGTAAACATGCTAATTATGCCATAAATTCTATTTCATAACCATCAAATATATGCAACCAACTTAAAGCTAAATCGACATGCAAGTTTTCCTTCATACCGTTCAGGCATACATGCAATTATATCCCATACCAATGCCATGCCATACCATACCAACAACTTCCAAATTATATCATAAATCGTTACACCTTGAGCACCTACCAATTCCAAGTACTCCTTCATCTAAAACCTAAGTTCAAACAGTTCTCTTTTCCAAAAGCAACCTTCCAACAGGACCTTCCTTTCTAACAACCATTCCATTCATGTCTCCGACCCCCCTTTCATAAACCTTAGTTCCCCTGACCCATGTTTCCTTTACTCTTCCCTTCATAGTCTTTCCGGTATACGGACTGACTTTGTTTCTAAAAAGCAATTCTTCTCTGCCTACAAGCCACTCGTGATTATCTTCAAAGATACAAATATCCGCATCTAACCCTGGTCTCAACGCTCCTTTACGATGTTGAAGTCCGACTTGCTTAGCCGTATTCACAGCGCATAGCCTCACGATATCAAGAATATCAATAGAGGAAGAAGATGAAGCACGAGAAGGAGATGTGGCTTCTGTCCAGAGAATTGGAAGACCAAGACCAACCGAAGAAATACCTCCCCAAGAGGCGAAAAAATCACCCTTTTCTTTGGCTTCTTGATCTTTTAATAATGCACCATTCACTCCTTTAGCATCGTCGCGCATGGCGCCACAGCCATGGGATAAATGCTCGGGTAGGAGTTTGAGTTCAGGAGTACATGGGCTGTGATCGCTAACGATAGTTTTGATGACGGATTCCGGGTGTGAGAGTTCGTTCCAGAGGCCATCACGGTTGGCTGAAGAACGAATAGGTGGACAGCATTTATGACGAGTGTCACCCTCGGATACATCTTCAGATGCAAGGGCGAGGTAGTGGAAACAGGTCTCCGCGGTAATATTTATCCCAGATGAACGAGCGGCGCGGAGGAGAGGGATAGCTTCAATGGCAGAAAGGTGTACGATGTGAAGATGGAGAGAAGGAGCGAGATGGGCAAGCGAGAGGATTTGATCAATCGCGTATGTTTCGAAGGATGGAGGGCGGGAGGATAGGAATGTATCGTATGCTGTCAGAGGTCCTGATGGCTGGAGAGGTGGGAGGGATACTTGGACGTCATCACCCACTGAGGCTGTTATTGGTGGAATCATTTCCGCATGGAACATGAGAGTTGTAGAAGAATCTTTGAGTGTCTTGAGTACGAGGGCTATATCGTCGGAAGAGACGGCAGGGAATTCATCGACCTATTACTTTTATTAGTGTCTGCAGCTGTGATTGGTTACGAAAATACATACACCACTCTCTATAAGGAAGCCCTTAAACCCCCTGACACCCGCTTCCACAAGCGGAAGCAACTCCTCGGCGTTACCAGGTATAATTCCACCATAGAATCCAACGTCAACCCAACATTGACCTTGTGCAGCCTTAATCTTTTCTTGTAATCCATTAATGGTTGTAGTTGGTGGGATAGCATTCAATGGCATATCAATGACTGTTGTGACACCACCTGATGCAGCAGCTTTGGTACCGGTATTGAAACCTTCCCATTCGGTTCGACCCGGCTCATTGAGATGAACATGTGCATCGACTAATCCCGGAAGGATCAAATGAGGAGTGTGGTCGACATAAATTGTGTTTGGTGGAAAACTAGAGGGTGGGAGAACGGTGGGTAAGATGGATATAATCTTGCCGGTTGAGGGTGAGATTGTGATTGTTGCAGGCGAGACAATGAGATTGTCATTCTCGTCGAAGATGACTGCTCTCGAAGAGACGAGGACTGTAGGTTGTAGTGGAGAATCGTGGGGTGGGGTGGCGGAAGGAGTTGGGTATGGGTATGTTGTAGTCATCTTGAAGACCTTGGTGACGCAATAATGGAAAATAAAGTATCAAGAGGTTCTTTAGAACGAATTGAAGATATATTGAGGTGTGATTCGAGAGAATATCCACTGGAATAACTCTTATCGTGGGGGATAAGAGGTGTGATAGATAAGAAAGATTCGAGAATGATTGGAATGACTGATAAGGGAAATGAAGGGGGGAGCTTTCTTTGTTCAAGTGAATTTCTAGAACTTGAAGAACTTTTTCAAATCTGGGGAAAGGGAAGATGGAGATATAAGGAAATTTGATTAACACAAATAGAAAGAATCCAACTACGATAGGCTTACTGTAATGTGGAGTGCATTCCCGTATGATACCGTAACTGTCCGTAGCTATGCCACGGTGGAAGAATCCGAAGATGTAGATATTCCCACGCCAAAATCGTTATCATGAACATCGAGAATCCATCGAGAATCCCTTATCTTTCTTCTCAACTACCAATCCGAGGGGTCGATAGGCTTGATCCTAATACGACCAAGCTTAATTAGTATCTGGCCAATGACTCCCATCCTGGATCAAGATGAGAAAGCCACTAGCTCAGTCTAGAGCTCCATAAATAAAGATTTTCTTTCCCCCTGGCGTAAGGAACAAGCGGTCGGGACATGCTTTGAACCCTTAAAATGACCTATGATGTGTTTTGATCGAGTAAAGCATTTCTTCTAGCAACTCCCTAGTCAGGAAGGCTAGAAAGAATAAGAAATGCTAGACCTTCTATGTTAGGGTAATCGAAGTTTTCAGTTCGGGACATCTCGGCATGCGAAGACATTGCATAAGGAGAAGCTGCGAACATTCATTCAGGGTGGATGTGGTGGATGTGGTGGATGCGTGGAAATGTCAACACGAACACCGCAGTGGAAAGGACATCAAATCCATCCAACAATTTTGATGTTCACTATCAATCATGTGTGCTGTACGACCATGATAATGTAAGCCACAATTAATTTGGGTTGTGTGCGTGTTGTGTATTGATTGTGTTCTCGTGATATTTTGCTGGATTATACTCGTACATCGTAGAGATTGATTGATTACCTGGTACACGTACCTACATGGGTTGGCTCGTCGGTTGCATCGTCTGAAGTACTAAAAAGCCAAGGCGAATCCCGATGCCGGATCGGACTTAAGTTTAGCCTATCGTCGAGGTTGTTAGCTGATACATAACGAACCGCACGAACTCAATCCATCCAATTCTCTTACTCGATCATTACTCGATAATTACTCGATGAAAACTCATAATCGTTCACGAGTAATACCAAGTCCAATATATATGCGTATGTGGCTTTGAGCATTCATCCATGCCGTACGAATCATTGGCTTGACACATTGTTGGGAATCTTCTCAAGCATTGCTTTGCGATGACAATGCCAAAAACGTACGTCTTAAGCAGGAATCGACTTTGTCTTGGAACCGCGGAAGATGCAAAGCATCGAGATGGGATGGGACGGGATGTAACAAGTCGCGTTTGCAATAATCATCGTGAACTCAGAATTGATTGTCCCATGGATATTGCCTCGGTTGGATGGAATACTTGGACAGCTTCGAAGATTGGATCCGCTCACTACAGCGTACCAATTGATTGTGAAGAACTGTCGAAATTGTACACGAGTATCCTCAAGTGGACTTTTTCAATCAACATTGCTCACCGCAGCCGTCACAATACAAGTAAGTGAAGAGCTAATTGAAAACGATTGAGGGAAGATGAATTGCAGAGAAAGATATGTTGTTTTCAAGAAGATGTAGGAGTCGCCATATACCACTTCAATCACGTATGATAGCCGGGGGCAATCGCCAGCCAAAATGCGTTCTTGCCGCGTGAAAATTGAACGCGATTTGACGACTGAACTGCGAGAAATGATGAGATCATCGCCAACACCACCAATTACCCAAACCACTCACTCTCGTGATACATTACACCAGGTCGATGAAATCAAGAAACATCGAGTTTTCTTCTAAATTCGTTGATATTCTCATTATGTGTGATTTCAAGTCTATTATTGACCCTTTTCGATTTCGTTTGGGTTCTCGTCGTCAAAAAATACCCACCATGAAGCTTGATCAGATATCAATCACCGAGATATTGGATGGTTTGAAGAAAGGAAGTTTCTCAAGTGAACAGCTTATTAGGGCTCGTTGATGCCCGTAATGACTTCTTTGTCGTATCACTAACGATAACGAAGACTTACATCAAGCGTATCGAGCAAGTCAATTCAATTGTTCATGTTGTCAGTGAGATCAATCGCAAGGCCATTGAAGTTGCTAGAGAAAGGGACGAAGAACGGTCTCATGGCTTGGCTCAAGGAAGTCTTCATGGAGTACCGATCTTGGCTAAGAATTTGTTATTCACGACCGATGGCCTCAAGTCAACCTGTAAGTTGAAATTTGTTGAGGGTAAGCATATTCTCACCCTATGAAGTTGGCTGCACCGGACTCCTCTACGCTATCCCAAGTATTGAAGCAACAACAATTATTAAACTTCGTGAACAAGGTGCAATTATATTAGGAGTTGCAAATAGCTCACAATAGGCTAATAATCGATGTACTCCTGGCTGGTCTGCTGTAGGTGGTCAGTGTTTAGGTGTCTATCATAAGGATCAACATCCTAAAGGTTCATCATCCGGCAGCGCTGTTGGAACTGCTTTGGGACTTTGCGCTGCTGCTCTAGGGACCGAGGTTCGTAATTTCTCATTTACGTTTGAAAGACGCAAATCAGATGTGAATGCGTAAGCTGAACGTTGAAACTATAGACTTCCGGTAGCGTCATATTACCTGCGCAGAGATCTGCTGTTGTAGGGATAAAACCGACGGTAGGAATGACTTCGAGATATGGAATGTATATTTCGAGTGATTGTCAGGATACTGTAGGGATATTGGCAAGGAGCGTTAAGGATGCAGCACTCGTGTTGACTGTGATTGCAGGTAAGTGTTTGGACCAAGTCCTTTTGCCTAGCTGAGATAAAGGAGGTGAGGATGAGCAGGATTCTATCACCATTTCCGATCCTCGAGATTCGACATTTTGCCAGAAGTTAAATAAAATCCCGGATTTTACTAAAGCGTGTAACTCTCGAAGATTAGACGGCGTACGAATTGCAGTGAGATGTGCCGGTGAGTATTTTGCAGCTCGAATACTAACATTATAAAATACCCCGTCATATTCTCAAGCACGTTGATCCCACCACCATCCATCTGTTCGAAAACGCACTCGATACAATGAGATCCTTAGGAGCCACCATTGTAGATCCGACTTCATATTCAACATTCGATACCGATAGATCTTCATGTACAGGTGACGAATATGATATCGCTTTGAAAGTAGATATATACCACAGTACATCTGCCTTTTTCATTCGCACAAGCACACATGCTAACCATCCCCTAAAGATATCAATAAGACCCTCTCTTACTTCTCCACAAATCCTCATTCTCTACATACCCTTTCTGATGTAATCGCCTATACAATCGCCACCCCCGCTGAAGAAGCTACGAAACGTGGTCTCGGGCATTTCGAATCAGCTCTCGAAGTCGGCAAAAAGTATGCTAGAGCTAGCGAGGAATACAGAAATTCTATGGCGGAAAGAAATCATATGGGAAGACAAATACCTAAATTACTAGATAAATTTAATTGCGATATGATAGTTCTACCCACAAATGTAGCAGTGGAACCAGCGGATGTGGGAGGTTGTCCGGTGGTGAGTGTACCTATGGGATTTTATCCTCCGGAAACGAAGATTGTGAGACAGAACAGGATGGTGGAGGTGGGACCGGGGATTCCGTGAGTTTTTTGATGTTTTTTTTTGTGTTTTGCTCTCTCTGGGGGTATGATGGCATGGTTTGGGAAAGAGAAAATGAAGCTAACGATTGGTACTAGACTTGGAATATCTTTCGTAGGAAGAAGATGGGAGGATGAGAAATTGATGGGGGTGGCGTATGCGTATGAACAGGCTACGAGGTGGAGAGATAAGGGGAGGATGGTGGTGAGGTGTGATGTTGAGATATGCGATTATGGTAGTGCGGGCGCACAAAATGATTTCGAACCTTTAGAGTCTTAGTGGGATTTGAAGTCGACGTTGAAGTCGAAGTTGAAGTTTGGTTGTCTGTATTCAGGAAGGGCATCTATTATCTCCTTGTTGGAGTGGCCATAAATAGATTCTGGGTGTTTGATATGGAGTTATCTTGTACGAGATGATTCACACAGAAGCGGAGTAAATTGTTATTGTCCTACTAGACTGAATCAGATTATGGAAAACGAGGAATTCACTTTCACACAGGTATCTTCTGCATGGTTCTCGCTGGTATCAAAATCTTGACGGCATCAAAATCTTGACGGCTATAAATTAATCGCAATTGCCGTGTTTCTGCTGCAACAGCTTCCAACATGTATACGAAGATTTTCTTGCGTCTGCAACCTAGCGCTCTTATTCAATACCTAGGTTGATCTTTTTCTATAGGACTTGAAAATTGTGCGATGTTGGTATGGGGTTGGTAAATATATAGTGGGATTTTGAAGGTGGTGACGGGGTTGGATATTAAGATGATGATAATGATGAGAAATATAACGATGGTGAATATTTCCCAGCGGATAATAAAGAGGATGAAGAAGGAAGTTTTGATAGTAAAAAACGGGAGAATAAATCAGAAGATAAGCTGGAGAAAATAGATTTTCTTTTACTTCTTAAAGCGGATGTGGTGTGTATCTATCTAAGTACTTGGCTTCGAGATCTTGGGAGCAACATAGGAGTTGGTGTGTGATACTCAGTGTTGATGGTTAGGAAGAGGGTAGAAGAGGAAAGGGGTTTATATATTTAGATGCTAATCGATATGTTGTTTTTTTAGTTTCCCGAATCTTGAATCAAACTTTTAAGCTACCTAAGTGGGTATTCACTCATTTAGTTACTCAAACCAATCTATGAGTATCTAGATATACGGAATCTATCCTGCTCTCCCTTTTCCCATTTCTTCCTTTATTTCCTTCCTCCCCTTCCTCCCCTTCCTTCCCTTCCTTCCCTTTCTCATTAGTAGAATTTCTCTTTGTACCTAGTATGTATCGAGGTATTCACTATCTACTGTCTACTACCTAGCCAGCTACCCCTATATCATATATATATTATATCACATCTATATATACATACATCCTCACCCTTCCAAGTTACCCCTGAAATTAATCATTATAGAGAATATTGTGCTACCTAGCTACAAGACTGGGATTTGTGATTTTGTGATTTTGTGTACATGGTAGTGGTTGTGAGAGAAAGAGAAGAGTGAGGGGTGTATAATTGTTAGATAGGTAGCAAGATTTGAGCTTGGAAAGTTAGTTTGAAAGTGAAGTTGAAAGGTTGTGGATTTCTTGGGGGTGGAGCGAGGTGAGATGGGTTTGGAATGGGTTGTATTGTGTTGGGATGGAATCGAATGGGATGGGATGGAATCGAATTGGATGGGATGGAGTGGGATACTGGTGGTGATGATGATGATGATGATATCTGTTTCCTGGTGCTAGATGAGAGTAAACAACGGATAACGAACAGAAAGCAGAAAAATTGACGGTGATTACTCACCTCCTTACCTGGACATAGACAAACAGAGAGGTGGGCGATATGAGAGGAGCACTTTACTATCAACAATCTTGTATCTTTATAATAGCAGTAAAATGCTGAACACTTTCTTTCCCATTCGCTGGACATCTATGTGTTTTGACGACCCGCTTGACTTGTTGGACACTCAAAGTTGGGTAGGAATAGATTTTATATACATTTGATGAGCCTTTTGTCGGGAGAATCCTCAATCGAAACTTTCACGACCAAGGTGGAGATAGCTGCACTATATTCACTATATTTACTTGCACTTTTCTGATTTACTCCACATTCTCTACTTTCTAGCCCCTTGTTGCGAGAAAGAGAATATGAGATCAATGACTCCTCATAAAAGAGCTCTATAAGCGTGTATGAATCGCATTCATCACTCAAGTTCACCAGTGGATAATAATTTCTTATATGCGCAGCGCTGTTCGTTGGGATTTGGAGAAGCGTGTCATCTTTGCTGTTTAGTCAGGTTGGAGATTTTATTGTGGTAGGATTAGAACTGACAAGGTTTCAGTTTGGGAATATTTAGCAGATGCGTGAGAGATGGGATGGGAGTGTTTCGATAAAGTAATGATGACAGTAGTAGTGAGGGCTATGGTGATAATCTCGATGATAGAAATTGGACATTTAAGCGAGGTTGGGATGGGACAACATAGATGCGAACTCCGGACGGCAATGAAGGGAGTTAGAGTTGTGAGAAGCCTTTTCGTATCTTTTCAATTAATTGTCTTACCATGTTATATTCTTGAGAGGATTGCTATTATATCTTGAATCTCGGTGTTCATTGCTGAAATTCAGGTGTATGGAAGGTGCAAATCTATACATCTCTTAATTTAGAGAAGTGGAAACTAACTATTGAGGACCAAAGTGCCATCTGCCTTTGTTCAATAGTAATAGTAGTTGTTTTCTCTACAAGGGGGCATGATCACTTTATTTATTAGGATTGTTCTCCATCTTCGTTCATTTACTAATGTTCTCATCGCTACATTGTGCAGTAAGATCATTTGTTCAGCACCAGAATCTCGGACGAGCAGCTCGTAGTATTCAGTTGAGAGTAATTCTCATCTTTTCCGGTTCGTTTTGCCTCCAATAGTCTTTAATTATTCGTCCGCAGCCTACTCTATGCGCAATTCCGTTTTCTCTTCGCACCCAGAGAACGTTATAAAACTCACGAATTGCGTCATCTTCTAGATGCGCCTCGCACAAACAATCCTTGCATAGACAGTTGTCAGAGAGGATGCGATTCTCTTCATAATCCCCTTCAGTAACAACCTCGTAGTTGTTTTCATCCAAGATAGACGAGCCACCCGATACACCAGTCCACCATCCTTCGGAATCATATTCGGCATTGAATGGACCAGGGTGGCAATATTGACTATTTTGGAAAACTTTCTCCTCAAAGCACATCGCCATATCTTTGACGCTCGCACTACCCTCTGAGATAGCAACCAGTTCCATGGGCATGCCTCGCTCACACTCCGCATCTCCTGTGATGCGTAGCAGACCACAGAACACACCTTTTTGATTTTGCAGGACGACTACGCTTGGTAAACTTGACAGGGGCTTTTCATTCAGAATGGGTTCCGCGAACATGCGCATGATGCCGCGTTTGAGAGGCGGTTGATTATGCTCAATTCTTAAAGTTGCCGAGGGAAGAAAAAATGCACGTTCTGCCAAGCAAGATAAAAATGTTGATTCTATATCGTTGTCCATACTACCATATGTGCTGAGTTTGCGGTCAGGATCGGTCATATTCGTCTCTTTTCGTTGCAAGTCCGGGACTGATAATTGAGGAAGTTCCGTTGAAAGTTGATCAGAGGTCTCCTCGAGCCTGTCATACCCGCGCACAGAGGAGCTGGCTTCCCAACTGACAAGATTTTTTAGTCTCCAAGAACCTGCTTTATCTTTCCGTAAACTATCGTTGCCATCAAGACAGAAGCTAGCTTGGAAACTCCAAGGATCCACGAAACACTCCCATCCACACCATGCCCAAGATGGAAGGTATCGAGCGTTTTTAGATGTGCTAGTTCTTCTATAGCAGTCTTTCAATGGCTGCCATAGAAGCGCGTAGTCAAGGAAAAGGGCCGGTAGACCGTGCATGAATCCACCTGGAAAGCTTGGAGCTAGACGATTCAGGATACCCAGGCATGCGGACAGACCATCTTTGTCATCCGTGAGTTTGCGTCCATTGTATGGACAAATGAGATCCATGTAAAGACCAAAATCGGGATATGATGGTACGGAGAACCTTCTCATGAGCGAAAACTCTGACATGGCTGACGCAGTCTCGTCAAGATCCTTTCCTGGAGAAAGAAACTTCATATCCCATGTTGCACATTCGCACTGCCAGAAAGCTGTCCTATTGCAGAAAAAGATAACACGTTTGCTGAGAATTGCTTCCTGATATGTCCAAGCTCTCTCTGCCCATTTTGAATCGGCGACTGATGAATAATGAGCACGAATTTCCCATGACTGTTCGTTGAATCTCCCCTTATTTTTAAATCTGGGATCGCTCAGGGTCGCAGTCAGTTTGTCAAAAAGCCCAAACTTCGCTGCAGCAACTATAGTCACGTACGCCCCCACATATACCTGATCCATACGCATAACTTCAGATATTGTTGCAGTCTCTTGATCCTGGATGATGCAGAGTCGATCTACCCAAAGATATCTCTGACCAAGACGATTTGTCAGTTCCATGGCGTCGAGGATAACTTTTGGTAACGGCGATTGACTGTGGTTGCGCAACGAATCAGGCTGGGTCAAGATCTGTAAGTTATCCTCGAGTAATTGAAAGGGCTCCTTATTCTCTGATGATGCACTGTCTTGCCAGGTGTAGCTCAGAGCGACATAATTGTTTGGATTACTTCCAGGCACGATACAATATTCCACTGTATCGACAAGCCAAGAAGGCCGGTCTAGCGTGAGAGCTTTGCATGTATGTTGCTCATCGCAAGCAGAGAGCCAGCTTTGCATGTGCTGAATAGCGGTCATTTGGTTATCATCCGACATCGAGTGATCCATATTGGCTAGGATGCTATGCTCAGGTTTTGGGCAGTGCAATTGAGAGAGGTCGAGATACGAGTGGGAGATTTCTGGGATCGCACACTTCTTCAAGAACACGACGTTAAGAGACAGTGTCCTAAACTTTCCACATTGCGAAATATACCCGATTCTGGTTGCGTCCCACAGCTCGCTTACAATCCAATCAAATATTGTGATATTCTATCATTCTACCTCTTTGTAGCTGCATGCATAAACAAAAATTTCGTCAATTGGTCAGAAGTTCTGAAAATATCAAGATATGGCATGCTGTGAAATGGGTTTATTCTCTCTGGCGCGCCCTCATGTCATTGGCAATGAATGATCTTTAGTCGAGAAACGGGATCAGACAAATGAATGGCAACACGCATATCGACCTATTGAATGACAGTGAAGTAATGTATGTGACATGTGTCAAACGACAGCACTATAGC